AGATATGGGTCTTACAGAGAGGAACCAAGTGGAATGCTGATTTTTTTTATAATCTGTGGGAATCTTTTACATTTTTGTATTTCCACACTTCATAACAGTTGTCACATTAAGGGGGGATCGGATGAGAAACATGCTTTGATGCTCAGGCATACATTATAAATCTTTGCAGGATGTAAAAGGGATTAAAGCTGAAAGAAAAGTGTGGATGCGGGCACGTTGTGGTCAGACAACCAAGATTTCCGTCTGCTTGGCTTAATAAAGTTTGACATGGCAATATTAGTGTAATTTAACAGTGTGTGAAACACCTGAGTCATTTGTAGAAAGAAGAATATTTACCCTGTGTTTATTCCTACTTTTTTTTAATTTAAAGGGCCTAATGACAAAAAATTACATGTTCTCCCCTACTCCTAGTAATATGGGGGAACAGGCCTTTTAAGTTATTTTTTATTAATTGTTTAGCTAAGCTCTAAGCCTAGCTCGGATTTAGCCACTTATGTGTTTTACTTTTAAACATATCTAGATATAAATATTTTTGACCCACATTGTCTATGGCTGACATTGCTCTACCACTTAGCAGAGCGTTGCTCTCTGCTCTTGCTCTTACTGGGCTTTATGCTTTCTCCGACTGCTCAACCTCTTTACAGATTTGGCCCATATTGCCTGAGGTCAGCCATTGAATACAGTATACGCAGTGTGTGCTGATCCTCCAAATTGCCATGTGTGAAATCCATCCCACTCGCTCCTGGGGGAGTAGTCATATCACTCAAAATGAAACTGCCTCTCGTACCCTCCCCTTATTCTTCCACTTCGCTGTTCTCTTTGGCCGCCTGGGACCATGCAGTTGTGAGGCTTTATGGTGGAAGCCTATTAGACAAATCTTAGAAGAATGCAGCGGAGGTGCTGTGATACCAGGTTGTCAGAGTGCTCCACAGACTCATATAAATATATCAGTCATGCTGGCTTGGAGGTCTCACTGAATTATATTATTTTCCTGTTTTGGTATAAATGCAGTGGAGGGGGATTGTATTGTTCCATATGGGAGAAAATTGCATCAGGTTTTAGAGAAAATGCTTCGTTAGATTTATTAATAACGTCTGTCATAGTGCCTCAGCCAATGTAGGGTTAAAGCTATTGGGAAGTCAGATATGATTAGAATCTATTCCATGCATGAAGTGGCTTGCTATCGCTTTTAAGTATGATGTGCTCCATCTAAGCATCTGCACATTATTATATATGAGTTTCAGCCTAAACACCAGTGTCACCTGTGCCTCTCCTCATCTCATCTGTCACAATATTTTTCTGTTTTCCACCTGTGATGTTCTACAGCCCCCCTGTCAAATCAGGGAAGGAAGAGAACGAGGATAAAGGAAAGAGAGGACAGAGACGTTAAATTGCATTAGGGCTATTATGCTGTAGAGATATATCTCCCTGCAGCTGGCAGAGCAGCGCATGCGCCTGTGGCTCCTAATGAGCCTGCGTGGAGGGACCTGTGTGGAAACAAAAGGCTGTGCTTGTCGGCCATACCAGACCCCTCCACCCGTCCCCTCGCCGCTCCCCCAGCCCTGAGCGTGACAGACCAAGAGCAGAGCGCCGGTCCCTTCCTGGTGGCGTGATTAGATTGGGGCCGAAGTCTCCAGCTGGCAGGCCTGTCTGTGACTGGAGGCAGCGGTCCCCAGCGCTTGTCACTGGCTGACACCTCTGACAGGCAGGGGACAGCTTCAGCAGACAGGTTCATTAAATGGCATTTTTTACAGCTGGGCCTCCAAAAATGAGGGCTGGGCTTTGTCAAATCTCCAAGTCTACAGGGGCCCCTGCATGTTGGTTTAGACCAAAGCTTTGTTGTTATGACAAATTTTTTGATCTGGGCTGTTTGAAATCAGCTCTTTTTTCTCCTCTTTAGCCTCTCTTTTGTTGACAGCTAGCCCTTTGGCCTGTACTTTGTCATGGCAACAAAATGTTCACTCTAGCTGGGTAACAAGAAGTAGCCAGTGTTAAAATATTATTGTGCTGACAATCAGTTAAAAGTTGCCATATTATCACAGTTTTAATATATTTTCAATTCTTAGGAACCTGAAGGGCAGTGTCTGTTTGGCAAACCTAATGCAGAATGTAGAAGGCAAATACATTTCTCTGTTAAAACGGTAAAATAAAGACTTTGCTGAAAATGACAAACCATTAAAATTGTCTAGACATCCAAATAACTTAATATATATTCAAATAACAGCTTGCTAGTGCCATGATGGAGTAAGCAGTTGTAACCTTCCCATGATGCATATCTGCACAACTTGCCTTTCAGCATTGCACTCAGAAGACTACTTCCAGAACATCTGGCTGCAGAGCAGGAGAGGGATAAAAGCTGCCCTGCCTCCTAGTGAGCTGCTGTTGGCCCTCAACAGTGTGCCCGCAGCTCCATAGCCATCTCTCCATCTCACCTCCCTTCCTCTCTACTCCCCCTCCAGTCAGCACACTGCCTCCTCTGGGCCGTGCTGTCTCTATGACAACTGTTTGAGTTGGGGGTTGCAGAGGTGTCAGGCAGGGGCATTACTGGGAGGAGAGCACCAGAGATGCTGTGCTGCACATCCAGCATCTCCACCTAATCCAATTTTAATTGAGCTCCAGAGATTTTGGATGTGGCACGGAGGTCGGGCATGAGCTATTCCAGGGAGAAATTAAGGCAGCCCGGCTCGCGCTGCACTCTTCCAACCTGTCACTATTTTAAATGAGCATTAGCATCAGACCTAACCCAGCTGAACATCTCACTCTGGCTTCCCTCCCTCCCTGCCTACTCCACCTCAATCACCCCCACACACACACATACAGACGCCCACACACACACGCTAATGTACTGTAGGGCCTCACGCCCTTACTGTCCTTTTATATCTTTATTCTCTCACACTCTCTGAACTTAACATATGTGTGATTATAACCTGGGGAGTTGATGAGGTTGCTCCTCGGCTCATACTGTTGGACAAAATTGTTCAGTCAGAGGAAAGTGAGATGGAAGGAGGGGGAAAGGTGTGTGAGGGGACCATTCTCACCTGTCAGAACAACTGTCTTGGTTTTCTGTGTGTGGACCTGCAGCCCCAGTGGTGCTGCATACACTAATGATCCTTTGTCTGCTCTCTCCACCATTGCATGATGGTTTTTATTGATTATTTACGTGTCACAGGCCCAGGGGGTCGTTTCCTTGACCACTTGCCTCACCCTAGTGACTTTTATAGACCAACTGAAAAAGTGTGAAACATTCAAAAAGAATCTGTATTGTGTAGAAATGTGCCTTCAGATATGGTATAATGTCTCAGTAACGCTTTGTGACATGTTAAAATAATGAATTAATGAATTGTTACTAGTGTGATATTGATATAACATAGTTAATAAAACTCATGAAATAGTTATTATCACCACTAGGTGTAAGCCTGGAGGGGATCATTCATTTGGTCGTGTGTGTTTTCAGTGTGTGTGTCTTTCTGCAGATAATGTCACAAACTACTGGACCCATCAGGCTGATATTTTTTGTGCACATTTATCACTGTATATGTTCACTGGTCATGTTGACCAGTCGTGGTTGCAATAATTCACAGTTTTTGTAAAAACCTATTTCACTGACTGCTCTGCTTTGATTGCCATTGATTGCGACTCCTCACTCCTCTTAACCAGCTTGTAGGGGCCACAATTGATCAACAACTGCTTCAATCTGGACTCTTTTTTTCCGCTAGGGACGACGTACTTGCCAGGTGACCTTTTGTCGGTTGACCTACATCACTATGATAACAATAGTCAGGTGACCTTTGTCGTCATAATCAAGTGGCCATTGTCGTCATGGTAACAGTAATAAACACGTTGTTACATAATGTGAAAGGTTTGCAGTTTGGTTAGGTTTTGGAAAAGATTATGGTTCAGGTCAAAATAAATACATATGTCAGTTAAAGCTAGAGTAGTAAACTTTGGAGAAACCAGCAAAAGATGGCTAACGTATAACACCAAAAAAATCCCATCCCCTCCCTTCAGGTCTCCCTCCAAAGCCACTTGCCCAACACACAGCAGTGCCTGAGAGGAGCATGGCGCATTGTTGTAATCGCCAATTGTATCCACCTGCCTCGTGTCTCATTTATACAAAGCTCTACATAGTTCAGGAAAATAATAATTCCCATAAAAAAACAAACAAACAAAAATTACCTGTCCTTCAGGTCTTGCCATCATTAAAAAGCCTAACAAATGTTGACTCTGTTGAGGGAAACTTTTTGTTTGTAGCCTTTTCTGCTTCTGTGTTTCTTTTCTTGCTTTGTTTGGAGTGCAAACTGTTGTAGCTAAAGGTGGAACTATATATTTTGGCTGGTCTTTCTCTGCCATTCTTGTGCAAATAGCTCAGTAGCTATAGCAAGATCTGGCTGGCCAGCAGATAAGTTAAAATAAGTAAGGAATAAAATAAGGAATAAGGAATAAGCTTGCTGGTAAATAATGAGGGTATTAGAGCACTATTCAATATCTCACCAACTACTGTGGTGCCTATAAACGATACTGTTCATAAAGAAATACAGAAAAGTTCAACAGCTGCCAACTTTTTTTAATAATGAAGCCGTGAACAAATATAACTCACAGAATAGTCTTTTGTAGAGTTTTACCTAGGTTGTATTTACTCTTGTGCTCTGATACAGTTTGGAAACAGAGTTGGCACACTGATAGCTTTTGTGCCCAACGACAAATCAGCATCTCTGTTTACACCAATACTTTAATAGTTTAAACCGTAATGTGAGAACGTGCCTCATTTCTATCTTGGTGAACTACTGCAATACCAGTGGCATTGTAGATTAAGTGTTATACAATTTAAAAGCCTCTAACATACTGAGTTGGTGATGTTTATTGTTTTGTTAAATGCAACTTTAATTTTGAACATACTGAAATGGATGGTAGTTTTTATCCCCTTTAACCTTACATGATCTCTGGTTTTATACAGCTATTATAACGGAGTACATTTTTCTCTTCTTTGTCTGCCCTTCTAGGTCTTGGCATACACTGAGGGTTTACATGGGAAGTGGATGTTCAGTGAGATTCGGGCGGTATTCTCCAGACGCTATCTCCTGCAGAACACAGCAATGGAGGTCTTTATGGCCAACAGAAGTAGGCGGACGTTCCTGTTACAGCATTTGAAATTCATGCTTCTCATGTTCTTCATCACTAAGTGATATCTGTCACTGTTTCACAGCATCAGTCATGTTCAACTTTCCTGACCAGGCCACAGTAAAAAAAGTGGTCTACAGTCTTCCTCGAGTGGGAGTGGGCACCAGCTACGGACTTCCACAAGCCAGGTGGGTCACATATGCCAAAAGAAAATGAACTCAACATTGTTAAATATTTCTAATGTTGTATTTCCTTCATGACCGATGTTACCTCCTCTGGTGTTGTGTGTTGGGGCCTCAGTGCAGCTTGGCCTGGAGCAGAGTCATTTGAAGTCCCATTGCTCCAGTCATTGAAGTGGATGTGCACTGACCCTGACTGAACTGACCTAATTCTCTCACAGAAGACTCTATACAGCAGGGCAGCAGCCAGGCCACTGACCACAGGGAAAACCACAGATTCCCTTTAGACTCTCATAGTGCTAACAGGCCTATTTATACACTGTTATAAAACCAGGACATTTCCTTAAGTCTTACGTTAATTGAGTGGATATAAAGAAAGCCATTCTAATTTAATGCATAGTAAAATTACTATAATTCAAGGGCTCTTAATTTGCGCATAGCTTCCATTTAATCTACTGAAATAAAAGTTGTGTAACTGAGTACCACTGCAGTGGTTGCCACGATTATTCTCTCGGGTTCAGCTTCACTCTTTGTGTATGTTCTTACTCTCAGTTTGTTCATTTTAATACAGACATGCTAGACATAGAGCTGGTTCATCAGCTATTAAAGGATATAATTCATGTATCTATTTTTTGTGTTGTAGCCAATTCTCTTAATTTAGGCAAAGCATCATATACAGTTTATGCTCTTTCTTTTAAATATAAGTTTTTTAACACCAGCCTTCTTTTTCTTTATTTGTTGTTGAAATGTTTTTTCCAGGCGCATCTCCCTGGCTACCCCTCGGCAGCTTTTTAAATCCTCCAACATGACCCAGCGCTGGCAAAGGAGAGAGATCTCCAACTTTGAGTACCTCATGTTTCTCAACACTATCGCAGGTAAGGATGCTCAAATGAAACTCTATACTTTTAATGTGGAAGTAGCTGAAGTTATGGAAATAAAATATTCTCTTTTTCACAGCCATCAGTTAAATAGATAGATTCTGATTTGTTTTCTTCCTCATCTGGGGCAAAATCTACAACCAGTGAAACAAGAAAGTTTAGTCTATTATCTGTGTGAATTTCTTCACCATTAGAGTCTAGACTTTAAGTTAAGCTATCATGATCAATAAAATTTATGTGCCAGTGTTACTGAAAACATACTATAAGTGGCCTCAGGTATGTCATATTTGTTTAGGAATCCATGGTAACCATAAGTGGTGCTCAACGTGGTAGACTTCACTGTTCATGGGAGTGTGCTGTTTGAAGCAAAGAGCAGGCACAGCAGATTTTGCCAGATAATTAGCGCCTGGCATTGTGAGAGCGTACACATGTGTGTCTGCGGAGTTGAGAGGTTCTGTTGTTGGCTCTCTGATCTGAACTGCAACTAACAGGGAAGGCGAGAGCGACTGCACGCTACTCTGCTCTGAGAGGTGTCATCCTCTCTCTCGCTGCATATTCATGCATATTTATATTTAGCTCGTGCTTGAGTTCGATACATTATTGTCAGCTAATTAGATGTAAGGCAGACAGAAAAACATGCCCAAAATTCATTAAAAATCCCCGGTAATGACCTGAGCTGACAGGGATGTCAGAATAGTGTGGGCTGGGAGACAGGCGGGGGGTGAAGTGCTGGGAAGAGGTGCGAACGGGAAGTGGTCTTCTAATTAAACACTATTCCACTGTTATTAACATCCTGCCACCCCAACTCAGGCCTCAGAACCAGTAGGTTTAACCACACCAATGCCCCCGACTCTTCCTCCACACACAGCCCACTGCTTCCTTTTCACTTTGTGGCATTAACCTGGATAATTATGCTCTCTAGCTTCCCCCAGACCCTGGATACTAAGCAGAAGCCTTCCCATTGACTAGCCTGTCACCCATTATCACTCGCTCAGGTAGATTTAGATGATCTAATGCCAACCTGCTGCAGTCCAGGAGGGAGCAGAGACACACCTTTTGGATTGGTTTAAGTTGATAAAATTTTGTAGATAGTCATTAAAAACTTTATTGCACTAGCAGGCAGATTTAGGAAGAGTGTTTCCATTGAATCGTCTTAATTCATTGTATTGCTCAGTAGCACAACATTAGTTATTCGTGGTTCTCTCCTGCAACTTGATTGGATGCTGTCGGATTGGTTCAAACAAAGTGGATCTGGGGAACTAAGTGGCAATTAGCTGGGAATGAATAGCATTAACATCCAGTATTTTCTAGTCAAAAAGCTCTAGTCACATGTCATTGGTGCTAGAGTCCAATTTGAGTTGCAAGTCTTTTGAATTTTGTCATTAAATTTGTGACTGAAGTCTGACTCGACCCAAAGTCCACACCTCTGCCTCCAGTTTAAAAAGTAATTTGGATGGGTTGATATATCCTTTAAACACCGGAAAAGAATACAAATATTAACTTTTATTCTCTCAAGAGTTTATGTCATAGGAATGTGGTCAGACCTTAGAATTAGCACTGCTGCTTTTTACAATTCAGTTAAATTTTTTTCAGTTGGTAAAATAACATGTTGTTTGATTTGCTTTGAGCCTACATTTTAGCTTGATTTATCACCAGCAGTAAAAATTCCTGCAAGATCATCCATAGCAGTCCTGTCCCAATCCTGGATTACGACTGGCCACCACCTGACCTCACAGCTGTATCAGTGTCATCTTCAAAAGAAAAGTAGAGCATTAATGACAACATGGTACATGCTCTCAGCTTTTCCCATGGATTTCCTTTGACACATTTTGCCATCTGAAAACCATATTCCCACTGCCAGAGAATAGTGGAAATTCCCATCTGGCCAATCAGTGCATCAGACTTGCAGTGACATTTCAGGATTTTGGAGTCAGCCCTCAGAATAATCTATATCCTTCTAATTACAGCCACTCCTCACGACTTAAAGATACTTATTTTCTCTATGAACTTAAAGACAGTGTCCTCAGGCCTCCTGTAACTCCCACAGTCCATTTATAAAGTACACTTAACAGGAAAAGGCATGGGGAGCACAGAAAACATCGTTTCATAGCAGAGAGAGCATGCCATTAGTGTATGTGTTTCCCTCGCAGAGTCCGTATGGGACAGGAAGTGCATCTGATTGAGGGCTCTGAGATTGGGGGCTTGTTGGAATGTTGCATGCTGATCCCCCAAAGTAACTGAAGCCTCAAGTGTACCCTGCCCTGCTTTCAACCCCTCTGTTTCCTTCCAAGCCTTCATCACTCACAGATTTCTGTCTGCTCTGTGTATCTAGGGAGGACATACAATGACCTGAACCAGTACCCAGTCTTTCCCTGGGTTCTCACCAACTACGACTCAGAGGAGCTGGACCTGACCTTGCCAGGGAACTTCAGAGATCTCTCAAAGGTACAGAGGCCTCTCGGCCAAGCACCTCCGTATGACAGAGGAGGGAGAGGTGGGGGGGACAGCTAGCCCTGACGGCAGGGAATTTCCTTATTAAGGCCCAGACTGTAAAATAATATCATATAATAGCTAAGGAATCATGTGCAGAGTCTAAACTCATGAGATGGAATGCAGAAAGTGGAAAATACTGGTTTGTACCATCCTGAAATTCATTCAAGTTTACTCGCCATTTATTTGGTACTGTATTGTTTCAGTATGTAGTTTGTACTTGTTTAAAGTGGCTTTCTGGTTTCTGCATTAGAGAGGATCATACATTTTATAAACATATGTGCCTTATATACTACAGTATCATTCTTTGATTTAATTCACAAAAACAAACAAACAAACAATAGAATAAACACATACACAAAAGCACAACAAAAACAATCACAACACTTATCCAAAATACAAAATCAGACCCACACACATAAATAAATAAATAATTCTCACAGTTAACAACTCTTTCAGTGTGGCAGATCTCTAGGCCTGGGCCATGTGGTGGAAACCAGTATGACAATGTTAGAGTCGCTGTAATGAGTATTTTTAAATTAGCAATGGATCGCATGTCTGCTCGTAAGTGAAAGCTGCCACTCGTGGCGATGAACCCCCAGGGAATTATCACCCAACTGCAGTTCCCCTCAGAGCTTTATAGCGTCTTTCAGCTCATTGTTTTGGTTTTCCCGGTGCTCTTTTGTTTTGGTTTGCTCCTACCGCTCTTTTAACGACATTTTTGAATGTCAGATTTAGTTGATGAGATGAACATGTTGGATCATTAAGACCTAGATATTTATCACAGGACAAAAGAATGCCAAAAGGAGAGTTCCCAAATGAATGCTAATGTTGCTAGATGTCTTCTGGATGTGGAAATCAACAACTAAACTAAAATGTTCACCATAGGAACTTGTATAAAATGCCAAGGGGGGGTTTAATAAAAATATTTATTCATTAACAATATATATCATGATACGTTAATCATGATAAACTGATGTCCAAGCAGTAAGCTGTGTTCAAAACTAAACTCTTCAAATGTGTAAAACAAACCTTCAATAACTAATTCTGTCAATTTTTAATTACAGAAAAAATGTAGAACAATATGATCATATCATTGCTATTGGATTCATATTGAATTTTTGCCCAGTCCTGCCCAACACATTTCCTACATACTGTATTATGTCAAAAATAAAGCACAACATATTTTTATAGCTGGTGATTTTATTAATTAAACATTGCCATTCAGTCATTAAAGTTTCTACTTGGATTTGACTATCAAGGTTAATGAACTGATAAGAACAGGTCATAAGCACAGTGTTGCAGCGAATGTCCTTCTAAATGTGGCAGATCAAAAACACATCAAGCTGTGCAGTAGCGAGAATCCTGCTAACGCTGCCAAATCACAAGAGCTCAGACACAATGACACTAATGCCCTGCAACCCTGGGAGATAAAGTTCAGCGTTATGTTTGCTCTGTCTTTGACTGAAGAGTAAAAGGCAGCAGATCACTCTACCACAAACTGTGGCCTGGTTTACTTGTTCACCACCCCCTTCTCTCTGTCTCTCTCTCTCTCTCTCTCTCTCACATGCACACTGCAGCTCACTGACCTGAAAACAGTCGCATTCCTGTCTGAGCTCTCTCTTACTCTCTTTATCGCTCCCTCATTCCCCCTTGTTTCCCTCAAAGCGCCAACATTCGAACACTTTGCCATCTCAGTTCTCTACAGTTTGTATCAGTTTTCAGCCCTTCAAGGAATGTGTGCTGTGTGTTTTGTAGTGGGACAGGAGGAGAAGGAAGAAAAAAAGGGACGTTACTATGAAACACTTCACAAAATTTCAGACAAGTTAGATAGAGAGTTGTGAATTTGAAAAATGAGCTCCCACTGTTTTGGAGCACCTTCGCATTTCAGTAAACCCTTTTTGGACAAACAGCTCAGTTGTGTTTCTTGCCACTGTCATCTCAGCACATGTCGGCTTTTGGCGGCTCCGGCCTGTGGGGTATCCAGGTGGGCTGAGAGACCCACAGTATGTGTGTGTATGCATGTGTGTGTTGAAGGGGGTGATCAGGGCTGAGCCATGTGCACCCCTCCTGCCCTGGGGAGACAGTTATGTATTGTAATGTATTCCAGTGACATCCTCCCATGCTGTTTACAGGGCTGAGCTGCCTTCATTAGCATGAGTTCACAGCCCGTGTCTCCTGACAGTTGTCCTTGGAACCCCAGGGCTCCTACCTCCAAAAGTTCACAGCTAGTATAGCAGGGAGGGACATAGGCCCCCACACTTCTCTCTGCTCGGCCTGCCCTTTTGTTCAATTATGGATCAGAGATAGCAGCACAGTCTCTAGAGACTTGTTCATTGTATATTAGGGCTGTGTGTCTCTTTCTAAGGTGTATGTCTGGTGGTTGTGGTTATGCACCATGCTTGCTGTGTATGTGTGGTATCTAAGGCTGGGTAACATTTCATCTGTTCCTAAAAAGTACGGTGGTTTAATACCCAGCCTTAGTGGTTACTACATCAAACTTTCTTTTACACATTTCCTGTTTTAATTGGTATGTTTATTTTTTTCTGCAGCAATAAAATCACCTCATATAATATGATCTGTCACTCCAGAGCTCAGTGACCTGTAGCCTTATGGAGATTAATTGTTATATCATTACTCTTAAAAATTGTAATCGCAGCTAAATTATAGGGTGTAAACTGGAGCACACTAGCATTGCACAATTTGGGAAGTTTTCTTTTCCACAGATCTGAGTCATACCTGAGTACTTGTTTGTCACTTACAGGTGACTGCCACTTGATGGACAGCATTGTTTAAACTGCAGGAGTTCTGTGCTGATCTGCCAGATAATATCCTCCCAAACCAACTGCACACACCTACAATTACCTGCTGGTTGGGTGTTCAGTCAACCATGAACAGTTCTATTGAACACTGCATTGCTTTGCCTCGGGGCCGGAGTTCTGCATATTTGGATGTCAGATACATTCATGCAGTGAAGGGTTTCATTAGATTCTAATGATTATTTCTTGATGGATTGACAAGTGGATGATAGATAGGCGGAAGCTAATCTTCCTCATAGCTGTTAAATGATGTGATGGAAATTCATATAACTGCATAAGAAGGTGAAAGAAGCAGATGTGGTGTAACACTGTGCTTCTTCACCCGGTGACAAAAATTTGTTAGATGTATGCTTTGTAAAATATAATTTCAACACCAAAAAGTGACACATACACATTTCTCAACCTATGTAACTGAAAGTCTTTACATACATTTTAACCTCACCTAAAATTACTAAAATAATGCTGATATTTTTTATTTATAAGCACAGTTTGAATGCTCAGACAAAGATCCATATTCTGTTTCCTTCCGAAAAGCTTGAGTAACGAAGACTGCTGTAAAGAACCCTTCCACACTTATACTTTCCATAATGGAGCCTTCTTCACTCTCATTTCCACTCCAGTCAGACTCTTTGGGAGCACATCTGCTTTATCTTGAGTTTGAGCAACTTGATTGCATTAGACTGAAGCTGCATGCAGCCCTACCTCTGACGAGGCAAGCAAAAAACGACTGCGACTTCTCCTGACAGAGCACCATAGCAACATACTATAATTTAATTTATTTTGAAATATTAAATGCAATATGAGTCTCTTTGGGAGGTAGCTTAGATATAACCAAACAAATGGAGACACTGTCTGCACACTCATTCACCAACACCCATGTTTATTTTCTGCATCTTTGGAGTGCAACACCAGAACTGATCCTGATTGAATCTGAAGCCAAATCTAAGTTTGATCATACTTTGTTGAGTTGTGTTGATGTATTTCACTGGGTCAGGTGTTATACAATAAATGAACTCGGATAGGAGCAAGTATGGAACTGTCTAAACCAGTTTTCATTGTCTTATATCTGTGATCAGTATAATATGCAATGCAGGGAAAAGGGAAAAGGTGATTATTCTTTGTTGAACAGAAGTAAGAAAAACCTGATTTTGACTTATCAACAGATGTGGCTATGACAGGAATAAAGGTACTGAAGGACCACTGAAGTGCGTATTGTTTTTTTATTCTAATTAAACAGCTAAACAATCATACATTCTCCTCATATTTTTGGCTTTCATAGTCAAAACAGAAGCATATAGAAGCATTACCGAAGCAGTTTGGTAGTGTTACCTAGAATTAGACATTTCCATACAGAATACACCATATTTATAGCAGTTTTTTTTGGCCAAGGCAGCACACCTAGGCTATGTGGAGAGGATTCGGACCAACCTGGAATCAGCCTTTTAGTCTTCAGAGCAACAGGGAGCTACATTATGCTTTCATGTTCTTGTAGCTGAGATTGTGTCATCTTGGCTGTGGAAGTAGTGTCTCTTTCAAGGCTATCTCTGGTCAGTTCATTACAATTTCACATAGTTTCTTTTATCAGTGTGATTAGTCTGTTTTGGTGTCAAACACTGCCTTTATTCTATGACACATTTGTAACACAGTGGGATGTCAGGATTTGTTAAGACAGAGAATTGCATTCAATGTCTAATGTGACTTTTGAAGCAAGGTTTTTTTTAATCAACTAAAACCAAACCAAACTAAACATTTTTAAATAAAAAAAAAACTTACAAAACAAACCCTGGAAACTATCTGAAACTAAACTGAATTGAAAAATAAAAGTAAAAATGAAATAAAAATAAAAACTAATGAAAAGTACTAAATTATAATAACTCTGCTTTGGAGTGATGCAGTGAGTCCAATAACCAACACTCAACACTTTGTTTTACAACTTCATGTTTATATACAAATGGGCGACCACAAAAACCCGAACAGCTTTAATTTTCCTTCTGCTTTCCTTCTAATTTCATTTATTCATGTTTTTTGTCAACCCTCTGTATACGTCTACACATGCACATTCTACAAATATGAACAGAATTTGCTTTATTATTTACATCAGTGCAACTGTTTTAATCACCTGAGGAAAAAACAGTTGGCCATTTGTCAACTTTACTTTACACCTATAAAATATACTTACCTATATTTAGCTGTTCTCTGGTTTTTACATATCAGTTCAGTGTATATTTGCTGTATCCCAACAGTCCCAATGTGAGCAGTGATCAACAATCTACCAGGTACAATTCCTTTTAAGATGACAGCAACCTGTAACAAAGAATAACTTCTTCGGTGATGTGGGTAAACTGCTAAAAGTCTTGCCATGCAGTCAGTATAATTATCCTAGCTCACCAACCACACAAGTTTTCTAGAAAATAAAATAAAAGCATTCTTACTCCTACACTACACTACAAGTAACATAGAAAATGTCTCATTATATTTATGCTTACACAGCTGAGCGACTTGGGAACACTGTGAGAACATTTTTGCTTCATTTATGTTGTGCCAAATAGAAGAATGAATAGGAAATAACTTGTCAGTAAACACGTCTTTGGATCTCTTGCCTGTAACTTGGTGCTTCATTCAAGATGTGTTTGTGGTTAGTTTATTGTCGGGAAGAGGTTGAGAGGTTGGTGGCTGCGGTAAAGATGTACTTTTTGAATGTCTAAAAAGTTAAAGATGTAACATTAGCTTGTACTATTCCTTTAAGCACAATTCTATGTTTCATATAACATACTCTTGCCTATAATAATATGACTGTTTTCCACCTTATTCTGGTATCATGATATTAAAATAGACAAATAACACATTTAATAACCATTCTGTGAGCTTTGTTTCTAATACCTGTGAATTGTTTACTTATTCCTCTCTTACACACAGTATGATTACCTGCGGCTGTCTTTTCCTTCTTCTGTCACATGCATCACCTGAATTTTTCACACAGCTCTAACTTGCATTAGTTACACTAGCGGCGGTTTTACAGAGTGTGAGACGTCTTGTGGCTCGCACCCCAATCCAGCTGGGCCAAGACGTCACATGCAAGGCTATTATCACCCCATAAATCTATGCAGATCTCAATAAACTTCTCTTTCAGTCTATTCAATTGTGCTAACACTGATGTGGACTGCCATTTAATTTTAAGGAAGAACCCAAAAAAAAATACAAATGGCCCAGTTTGATCAGGCATATGCACTGTGCCACATATGGATATGACCATAATCTACAAAATGTCCAAGAGCGTCTGTCTGTCGTACTGAGGTTGCATATAAACTCTACCCAGCCAAAAGAATGGTCATTTTAATAGCGTCAGAATAAGTGACTTTATTTTTCGGGCATCAGTCTCAGACCATTTTGGATTGAGGGCTTTTATTTTATTTCTTCCCGACCTCTGAGCTTCAGCTTTCAGGTAGAAAAGCTGCCATTGATTACATTACCAGTCTCCCTTCCCCCTCTGTAACCGATGCAGTGGTACTGAGTATATTAATATTGACTGCCAATATGCCTCCAAGGCCCTTATATTGGATGGGGTGATTGAAAAGGCAGAGAAAGCAATTTATTCACCACTAAATGTATGTTTAATGGGAGTAATTTTGTTGCCTTAAGAACACATGAAAATGAAACAGCCGCCAAAGGGCAAAAACCCAGTGATGGTGTCAGTACAATATTGAAATGATTACTGAGGCTGCGGTTAAATAAAGAACCATGCTATCCAATGTTTGGCCTAACTATGAAATAATTGGATGGATGTCAAATAAATATAGCAGTGATGTTATTTATTTTCTTTTTTATAGCCTCACAATAATTAGGCAGCAGTTCTTTAAATGCAGAACTACGAATAAGAGAGTTTTTATGATTTCTGACATTTTCAGTCTTGATATTGCATTTATTGCTCATTTGGCATTTTGGAGAATTCAAGGTTCTGCTGTTTACCAGTAAAAGACTGGTTTGGGGTTTTTCGAAAATCTGTTTTTCTCTACTAAGGTGGCAAATGTTCAATACTTGATTGTGTGCATATGTTGTGGGGATCTTCTATAATAACACTTGAATACATTAATGTAATCTAGAGCAGTTTTTCTGCAGTAAATGCTACCCGATTATGCTCAGTTTGTTCCAGTTATTTTGTCAGTTTTTCATACTCTAAAAAACTGATGTTGAATCAATTCTACTGAAGCTTGTGGTTTTACATTATTATATTGCAGTATATTGTATAGGTCCTGTAACTCCCATCAATAGTGCCTAGTAGCACAGAAGGGCTCTGAACACAGATGGGAGTAGCAGTGCTGAGTAAAGTGTTTGGCTCAGTGGGTGTGTTGGGTGTAAATCAGGTCAGCCTGGGTTAATCCACATGGATTACCCACAACATTTAGCAGGAGACGCTCATATCTCCTCCTTCCAACCTTAGTGCGCCATCCTGCTCACCCATGCCACCATACCCTTGTAAATTCCAGACAGTAGACAGTGCAACAGGAACTTTTTAGGGTTCAGGAGAATAATGGGGTCTGACAGATAAATCCCAGAGTAAAGCTCCTTGTCTGCCCTGAACTCTCCCCCAGCCTCTCTGCCGGCCTTGCCACATGTACCCTAATGGGGAACTACTAAGACTCTGCAAGTCTAACTCTGTTAATTACACTCAATTATGCTTTCCTAACACAAAGAATACAAGGGCAGGTAATTTACACTATATACCCAACAAAAGATTGCCTCAAAAAGGTTTCACTGCAGTCATGAGTTTGGACCATCACATCACCGGCTACATGATGAAAGTATTGGCAGCAAATTGTGTCCCCAGGCAAAAAACTCACATGTTGTTGTTGCAGCCAAAAGGTGACACTTACAAAGTGTAGTACAAAAAAAAAGACTAAGCTATCGACTACACAAAAATAAATGAACTGAATTTTCTATGGATGCCTTTGTACACTCAAATGATCTATTTTAAATAAGTATATGGAGCGAATATTTCCCTCTGTATCGGCATGATCATTAAAATTTGATTTAGATGGGAGACTGCTCGAGAGACCTGCTATATCTGTTAGCAGTAAGATTTTCCATTTTGTGGATCAAGATAGATGAGGATTGGGCGGTTCATGCAGAATATCATGCAGCAACAACTGCAGTTCCCTCTTTTATGAGGAGCGTGTGGTTGCTTAATAATAAGTAAAAGTAAGTCAATTTTATGAGTTAGACTTAAGTTTAGCCCTGATGTTTCAAAGAAGACTTTACTAACAGTAAAGACTGAGTTTTATGTTTTCTGATATGAGATGTGAGATGTTACAGTATAAAAAAAGACTACTTTTGGATAACAATAATTATGTCTACACTTAGATGTGTAAGAAGAGTAGAAGTGTAAATTATGCCCAATTACTTAACATATATTATGCTATAGCATTAGCTTGCACAGTCATATACTGACCCATAGAGATCATTTTGGTGAGGTTACCATAGCCTAAACTTCTAAAACTCACTTTAACAAAATTAAGAGTGATGATTTTTTTTCAGCAGTCTAGCTGGCTTGCATTTATAAGTGTTGCTGAAAAAACAGCTTTCACTTCCAGTATTTCAACAAGCCATATATTGGATTATTGGAGTACACATAAAGTGTAGTTTTTACTGACCTGAAGACACAGTTGAGTTAAATAAGTCTGTATAAATTGTAAGAGCAAAGAAAATAGCTCATATCACTTAAATTGTAAAGTACTCACACTGGCTTACAGTTACGCATAATATGGGTTTTAAAATCCTTCAACTTGTCTATAAATCTTTTCATGGACTTGTCTTTCACTATATTGTTAACATGCTGCCAAGACATGTGCCTGGTATAGTCGTCAGATCTACTGCTCCCTGAACCAAATGCTCCCTGAAGCTTCTGCAGTTTCAGCTCAAGATCAGTGACAAGAACGCAGCTTTTAGCCTTGCTTTGACTTGAAGTTATTACTATGTTATTAGTATTTTGGTACTTTGACTTGATTTTGACGGTTCATCTATTTCAACTTCCTTTTTTAACTGTGCTACGAAGGTACTGAAAGGCTGGTTGTCTCAATACTTACTGAAATATATAGAGGTGTTGTTCCTGTATGGGTTTGTTGTAATATACTGGCCATGGTAGTTATCAATAAGGCTGTCTACTTTCTCTTTAATGTCTAAAGATTATTTTCTTTAGGTTTTCAGAATTTGTTTCATTAGCTGTTTTAATGTAAAGCACCCAAGCTTTTTGGTTAGGCATGTGCAAGTCTATTTTCTTTATTACAAGTTTTACCAGTGAGAATGTCTTCAGTTCATGGGATAATGTTTGCCAAAAGGTGGATGTCAGAAACTCTTAAGAAAGGAAGCATCAACAAAGGAAGTGGTGATATATTTAGAGCAGGAAGTTTGCCTTCAAAAAGCATATGGCTTTTAGGGAAAACCTGTGTTTTATTTTCACTCCATTTCAAGAACTGAACCTCTTATTTCCTTATTTTTTCCAGCCTGTTGGTGCTCTGAATCCAAAGCGTGCAGCATTCTACGCTGAACGCTATGAGACTTGGGAAGACGACCAGACACCACCTTGTCATTACAACTCCCACTACTCCACAGCTGCGTCCACCCTGCACTGGCTTGTCAGAATAGTGAGTAAAATCACTCCTTCAACCACCTTCAAACCCATTATTGTACTGTGTTCAAAATCCCCAAATTAGTCAAGCATCTGAATAGGAATGAAGTCAAACCCACATGCTCAGACAGCTTTTCATTTTTGAGTCTGCATTAGTTGATTGTCACTTGTCAGACTTGATGATGCTGTTACTTTGAGGTCTGTCGGCTTCTGCACAGGAAACGGCTCGACATCTCAATTTGATTGGGCCTGAGTTAGACCAATGGCGCTCAGAAAACACATTTCACAGGCCAGTAAACCGGCATATGTGAACTAAATAAAGAGTGGCTGGGTAATGATTTACAGAGGCTGCTGTGACAGGTTTATGTGTTTCAGGCAACCCAGTGAGCGTTGGAGACATGTCCATCAAGGTTACTGAGCACTGTCCTCATTTACTCTGGAAGAGAAGGAGGAAGCACACGCACTCACTACCAATCTGTTCCCCACAAAACAGACCCTTATAACCTGCACGGCTTCTTTGAGTTGGTGTATATCAGATTTTGAAGTCAGCTTATTAATTTGAAAGAGCTTTATGAGAAGTTTGTACTGTATTTCTCCTCCTCCCCCATCATTAGTAGAAAGGGGCTGATGAACTGAGGGAGCTCCCTTGACAGCAGTTAGATTGGCCTCTGTGGGTTTGTTCCCACAATCCCTTTCTTCCTCTGGTGAGTGATCCATCCGCTTCAGCCGGCAATGGTCGCCATCTCAGGCTGAGAAAACCAAATTTGAGCCAATTATCATTATGGCTTACTGTACTCAGGAAGAACACTAATTAATTCTCCCCCAGGCTTGGATTCAATGAATGACTGATCTCTACAGAGATCCCTTAGTCTGCCACAGAAAAGAATAACAATGAAATAATACAGATAATTCAGAGTCTTCACATGTATTTTAATAATTTGCATGATAATCCAGTAAATTCAAAAAGTACTGAGATTTTCATTATGTTGGTTGTGATGGTTGCAGCTGAAATGCAGATCAAGAGGGTGACAAAATTAATGATTAGTTTACATTTGGGTGGAGGTCTGTTTGATGTCTAATTTGCTTTCTTTGTAGGAACCTTTCACTACGTTCTTCCTTTGTGCCAATAACAACAAATTCGACCACCCTGACCGCACCTTTTCAGCCATTGCCCGCTCCTGGAGGAACTGTCAGAGGGACACCTCCGATGTAAAGGTGAGAATCACAACAATAGTAGTACATTTCCTGCTTTATGTTTATATGGAAAAATGGTTCCCTTAACAAGTGGAAGTTAAATATGTGCTTATTATCTATTATTTATATATTTCCCTGTCACATACCTTCTTTAAGCTGGTGTTATGGATAGGTGGGTGTTAGGTATCTAATTTGGACAGCAGTCATAGTAAATATTAGTACATATTGCACAACATATCTACCATCAAAAGTGCAACTATACAGCATGTATAATTGGCAATATAACCATACCAGGCCTCTCACTTGCTCAACATTTGCCTCAACACCGCTGCAAAAATATATACCATTAATTATAAATGCCTCATCCAAGCAGCGAATCACAAAGACCCATGTGTACAGGAATACCCTAAGCACTTAGAAATGCACATTTGATTTATCTCATGCAGAAAACAAACTATCTCAGAGGTGGATCTTGTATCTCTGCATGCAAGCACTCATGAGTTTGAACAAAGGCTGTGTCTGAGAGAAAGACAAAGCCCTCCCTCTGCAAATCCACAGAGCAGTTACTGAAAATGCTGAACCCTGCTGATTTGCCTCCATTTTGCCCACTGCATAACACGCAGCAGGAATACGCACTGACCTCAAAGTGTCATATATTTCTAGCACACCCTGCATCGGGTAGTGTTGCCCCAGGCAATTAATAAAGCATTAATGACAAAAGCTATTTAAAATGTAGTCTTTTATGTACGGACAGGGCTTTTACTCGCCAGAATCTGGGTGAGAGCAGCCAACAATCTATGTGAGGCAGAGGCAGAAAGCTGCAAGCTACCGAACAGCTGAATAGTCAAACGCCACCCTGTTAACAAATACAGCCTACTTTCAACTACTTGTATGTCTGCATGCATTTGTTGTTACACACATAATATGGCTACTGATCTATTAGGAGAGGCATTGTACTGTGGAGGACAATGCTGGATTACTAAGAGTATTTCAAAATGTATTGGAGGCAGTAAAATATTACGCAAGAGCTTGTTTGGTTTTCTGATGGTGCAATAGTGGTAAACCAATTTATGAGGCAATGCCGCTATAATGACTGATGAGATGAAAATTTATTGTAATCCTTTTTTATAATAATAAGAAAAATCTTATTTCTTGTCTCTCTATTTTTTTTTGCAACCTTTCAACCCAGTTTTGAATTTCCTTTATTTGTATATATTTTATATTTCTTTTATATCTGTAATCTTTATAAACACACCCTGTATAAAAACAGTATTTATCAACATATTTCTATTCAAAATCAAATCAAATGAAAGCATAGGTGTCCATGCATGCTGACAGAAAGACAGCCAAACATATAGCAAGACACCCAAACGCCATGCAAAGACACCATGTAGCGACTGGGACTGAGAGGAGAGTCTGGGGTTAAGGTCAGCTTCAGACCAGTACACCGAGCGGGCCATCGGGCCTCTGATTAAAAGGCAGCTTGTTTTTACCAGGGTCTCTCCTTCATTAACCCCGGCCTCTTCCAGCAGTAATGACGACAAGACCAAGGGAGGCTGAACCCCTGATGGGGATGACCTCCTAAAAGAGCAAGTCAAATGGAAACAATCCTGTGTCGACCAAGCCCTCACCTCCTCGGCCACCCTATAATTATTGTGCATCCATACCTCTCATTTATTTCTGTGTGCATGCAGTTATGTTAAGCTGGCACAGCCACCATGGGCAGACTGAAGCAGACTTGTCGTGGGCACACACACACACACACACACACACACACACACTCATACACACACAAACTGCCACCATGCTGTCTGAAGGAATCCAGCAGCACTCCACTGGTGACAGATTTTGACGAACATGTCATTAAGGTGACACAGTGTAAAGCAATGGAGGCTTGTGTGATTGACTTGTTAGCCCATTACGATGCTGTTGCAGAATTAATGGCTGCCATGGGAGGGTGGCTTGAAAACAGAGCTGGCAGTTTTAACGGCTTGGCGGTGAGTTACGGCAGGAAGTTTACAGACGAAAAAGTGGAGGGAAAGTGCAGTTGTGTGTATGTGTGTGCATGTGAGAGGCAGAGGGAAGCAGAGAGGACTGGCTACTCCCTTCCCTGTCGTGTGCAGAGGGTGAAATGTGACCAACAGCAGACCAGCAGTGTTACTGGCCTGTACCTTGTCATGCTAACCTGCTCTCTCAAAACCCAGTGATTTATGGGGGCCTAAAGGCTCTGCACGTTATGTATCCCATAGGCAACATAAAACTCCATAGTACCACTGAATCTGACAAACACTGCATTCATAAAACAAGCCTGATACAAGGAGTTAAAATACTGTCTTGCACCCTCCATTACAACCTCAGTCTAAGAGACAGAGAACAACATTTAACTTGTCTTGTGTGTATGTTTTCTAATGAGGACAGAGCAGAGGATCTACATTCCTCGTGTGCATATGCCTCATTGTGCAGAGGCCTAATTCACTCATCCTTTCTTAGCTGTATGATCAGGAGGATAGGGGATCGAAGTGGAGGGTTCAAAATCACAGAAAGTATACATAATAATAATAATTTATGTTGAAAATATTTTTTCTTAAAAAAAAATCTTAAATTAAGTAGTTTTCTCATGATGTGCTGATCCGGTTCATTTGTTAGTTTTGGGGTGGGTTTTTTTTTTTTTCTATTATCTGTTATCTGTTTGTCCTGTGTTCTTTTTTCTTCTTGAAAAGCAATAAACATATATTTTAAAAAAAAATTAAGTAGTTTTGTATTTTAAGCCCATTAATTATCCAAAGCATGTGAAACCTGAATTTAAAACTTTTTTGAGATAATCATTAAATATCACCTCCTCTATTATTAGTATTTTTAAGACGTTTTGGTTACATGGTAATGCAGTTGAAAGTACAGACTGTCCAAATGTTCTTGCTTTCAAGGATGGTATGACATCTAAATTGAAGTTAGCTAGTTAAAGAAATTTTAAATAGAGGCACCAAAATGTTCACTGTAGTAGATTGTCTATCTCAAGCAAGTCTCTGCAAGTTTATGTTAATGATCTATAAATGGTTGCCTGGAAGGAAAGAACACATACATGATGTGTACTTAATGGGTTAAAAATCTTTTAAATACCAGCATGGTCATTCAACACAGGGGAAATACCTTTAGGAATAGTCTTGTCTCAAAACGTGGGTAAATATTTTCTCTCTTCTCCGATGTATGGAATCACACCAGGCTTTATGTAGGGGGTTCCTTTACCACGCTGACTTCCCCTCCACTGCAAGGTCCTGACCTCATCACAAGAGCCCAGAGACCAGGGAGAAAAACCCAACTCAGTTCCAGTTTCATTTAACACACCTAACACCTCTGCCTGGAATAACTGGACTAGCACCTCTCACCGCCTTCTCATGGCCTGCTGTTTAGTTTGTTTGTGTTACCTTTCCCCTTGAATTCTCGCTTCATCTCAGTGGGATACAGAGCCTTTTTTCTCTGTTTTTTCATGGCTCTGTCCGCAAATGTGTTATTTTTTGCACTTTACGGAATTGTTGGGCGATTATATGGTGAAAATGGTGGTATTAGACGTGGTCCTGTCAGTGAGCTGTAAAACATGAACATCTCTCTTCCTTTAAAACACAGGAACTGATTCCTGAGTTCTACTACCTCCCGGAGATGTTTGTCAACAGCAATGGTTACCATCTGGGAATGAGGGAGGATAGGACCATGGTTTGTGACGTGGACTTGCCAGCATGGGCAAAGAAGCCTGAAGACCTCGTTAGGATCAACAGGATGGTAAGTTTTAGGCATGTGTGAAATTCAGAAGGGATTCAAGTGTGTCTGTATATCATATTGTTTATTTATTAAGCCAGATGAATTATTACAAAATAATCAGACAGTATTAAAACATTAATCTGCCAGATTTCTGCCAGAAAAACATTTACACACTTTATCCAGCTTTTAATCCTTGTCGATTAAGATTGCAGTATTATGATAATAATAGAAATAAAAATGATCCGTATCATTTTTAATTGTTTACCAGAATAAATATAACATTTAATTTCAAGTATACATATATACTTCTCTTCTCACAGCAGCATATAAATATATTCCTTGTAACCTTCCCAGACATCTGTGTCTCCTTGTCTTATTCATGAAGCATCTAATAAAGTGCACCGCTCAATACTAACACTGTAACCCTGACCCCAGTGATGTCACTAAAGGACAGGACTGAGGGCAGGTTTGCCCTATAGTGTTACCTTCTCTAATGCCGGGCCTCATCACTTTGGCAGTGCGCAGGGCGCTTTCCGTCTGCATGTGTGTGAACGTCTGTGTGTGCATGTTTAATACAGACAGCCGATCAACATGTGGTCCACAACTCCCAGCAGGTTGCAGGAGCAGCACAGAGACAGAGCCGTCTCTTGCCCTCGGAAAAACTCTGTTTTCCCTTTAATCTGGATTCACTTACTGTAGAAACTCAAAAGCTCTCCTCACCACAAAGCTTAATGAAAGAGAACACAAACATTTCATACAAAAACTAAAGGATGAATGGCCATTGCGTATACTTACAACAGTGTAGATGCATTTTGAACACATATTTCACATATATCACAAATACTTAAATTAAAATGGTGTGTTTTTGGTAAAGCTGAATAAAGCTGCATGATGGTGACTTAGAATTTGGGAAAATTATAATCATTTGAAAAACTAGTACCCAGAAGTGCTCTACCACAATGTATACTGTACACAACATGTTTCCCAACATGGCTACTCTGTTATTATTGTACACAAAAGGGAGATGACAAAATTAGAATATAGTTTGTATCCTGTTTGCATTTCAATTTTAATTCATATTGTAAGATTCATAAAGGCCCTTATGAATTAGCCCATGAGAGGAGTGCCCTGGTAGCTCACCTGGTAGAGCATACGCCCAGTGCACAAAGGAGTCCCTACCACAGCAGCTAGGTTCGATTCCTACCTACAATAAAAGGCCTTAATAAAAGTTTCATATTTGGAAATGACGTGTAGCCCAGAATTCACACATGTGTATACATATATACTGGGATATGAAATTGATATCTCTGACAGCATAATATAATGGGTAAATTGACAGTTGCAGTTTAGAATGATAACAATCCTCTATCCTCCACTTTCTAATTTAGGCTTGATTAGTTAGCTCCAAGCCGCAGAACCTTCAAAAATGCTGCTAGGAAGACACGTTTCATACATGTTATGTATCCTGAGGTTAGGGGCCACAGTGTTTTTTGGACCAGAGGTAGAAAGAGGCTGTGGGAACACACTTGACCTTTTCAGCTGGAGTGACAGACCAGGGCTGGTCTTACGGAGGTGACCTTTCCCCGTGCTCTACCCACACTGCCTGTTCGAGCTCTATCAGCCTTGTATACCGACAGAGTTGGAGGGGTGGGGGGAGGGCAAGGAGGGAAGAGAGAAGGGAGAGGGTGGGAGTTGTTACGGGCATGTCTGCATCTCCAAAACAAGGAGAGAGGATGACAAAAGGATAACAGTGGATATTTTCTCACTGTTGAAGGCTACATGTGTGATGTTGCCTTGCATTGTTACATTCGCAGACCAGTGTATTCACAAGCCCAGAAAATCATAGTCTTCTGCCTCCATTTTTTGTCTTTCTTTTGTTCTGCTCCCTAGCTAGCCCACACTCTTGCTTCCTCTATTATTTCATTTCTGTCAGTGAACCTCTCTCCCTGCCTCCCCCTCTGTCTCACTCTTCCTCTTTTTTCCTTTCCTCCTTCTCCCTCCCTCCCTCCCTCCCTTCCTCCCTCTCTCCCTCGTCCTCCCACTTCCCATCTTTGCATGTGCCACTTTCAATTGTAGTGATATGCCCTGTGGCAAACTCTGCCTCTGTGTGCTTGAGCAGGCTTTGTTGGTAATGGCTGTTATTCCTGACGCGAGGGGAGGAGTGTAAATTCCTCTAGCAAAGCCTTACACCAGCATGCATGGGAATTATATTTTACCTTATTTTGAAACAATAGATCAAACCCCACTGCATCGCATCCATAGGTATATTCATAATAATTATCCGCCTTAAATCTTATCCCAAATCTCTCACTAACACTCCCACAAGAAATCAAGTCTCCTTTTTTCACTCTCACAAGTGATTCATCAATGTTGCTGCTGCACATGATTTTACAGTAAATTGGATCCCTGCTAGTATTGAACCGATTTCTTTGTCTCCATGCAAAGATAGTCGGTATTTTAAGTGGACAGAGAAATGTGATATGGGAGGCTTATCCCGAGTTAGCTCATTATATTAGAAGGTGGAGATGCAGCTTCTGTGTCGTTTTTTTTTCTTCTTCTGTAATCTTTATGTGCAGTAAAGCAGATCAAATACCTACCTTTATTTAACTAAAAGTTATTTTTTTCCTCAAAGTATTCATAATTAGTTCTGATGTGATGTAGGTCAGCTGTGTACATTAAAGTAGGCTGTGGTTTGTTGTGTTTAGTGTTGTGTGTAAAGTACAATTTGCGATGTGTGTTTTGGCCCATGTGCTGCATGCTGCTGGTATGCCTCTCACCTCTACTTGCCCTGTACTCCTCTGACAGGCCCTGGAAAGCGAGTTTGTGTCATGTCAGCTGCATCAGTGGATTGACCTTATTTTCGGCTACAAGCAGCGAGGCCCAGAGGCAGTGCGTGCCCTCAACGTCTTTCACTACCTGACTTACGAGGGCTCCGCCAAGCTGGACAGTATCGCTGACCCTTCCCTCAGAGAGGTAAGGCACATATACACATTGCCATGGAGACAAAGCCCCTCCCCTTTTTTATTCAGGCATAACTTCCTGTCTCTATTTGTCCTGGCATGTGCTGGAACTCCTGGAGCATTCATATCATGCATCTGTCAATCAATTATTGTGTCATGCAAATGCAACCGTGAGAGAATCGGGCAGAGCCGCTGACTCATCAAGTTCCCTTTGAGATTAACGTCATTTTGTGATGACCTGAGTTATTAATTTCCTCACTCTCAGATAAACAGTAATCTTTTAATATCTGTCCACATTATTCATAGATCCATCTTAACATCATCTTCTGTGCTCTTTTCTTCTTTTCTTCTGGTCTATGAATAATATACTGTATGTTCCTTCCTCTAATCAGATCAATGAATCTGACTGAGCTCCTTGATCAATCAACAGAGGTCACTCAGTCAATAGATGAGGGAGTGAATCCTCTTGTTCTTAACTAATTAATTGAATATCTATTAGCTCCACCGTACTACTCGTGAATAGCTTAATTGCGTAGAGGGGAAAGGGGACCAGAGACTGCAGCAGCTGGCATGCATTGTGGTACTTTCCAGTGTGAGCTTGTCTCTCCCTGTGATATCCACCATCTGCTGTCTGCAAAACAAGTCATTTATATACTGTCACTTCCAGGGGCGCCTTTATTTATCAAGTGACCACTATGCAAATCACCTGCAGAAGATTTGGCCAATCTAATTACCAAACCATATTGTGAAAGGTTTGGTTTTCATCATTTCGAGAAAGGTTTAGGCATTTTTTATTTTGCATCAGGCTGAGGAGGTTTTAGCTGTCTTACACCCTACTGTTACCCTGAGAGATGACAGTACTGTTAGTTAGTTGCACATTAGGAAGCCTGCTACTCAGACTCCCTAATTGTGCCCAGTTGATGCAGTAGCTATTGTGACATGTGAATGTATTTGTGCTGGAGAGAGAAATTGGCTCAGCTAATTGCAACTGATGTAATGCTGATATGATGAGCACTAATTAAGACAAGCCTTCATACCTTCAGTCATGTTTCTTATTCCAGATGTATTCTTCGTCTCTCTGTAACATAAAGTATGACCTTGTATATCTAAAGCCCATATACTAAAACATAGCAGTATCCTGAAAACGCATTATGAACAGATCTATTAAACAGGAATGTTAAAATGTAATTATTGGATTTCCTTCCATATACAAGTTGTGAATAATTGTAAATAAAAAAATATTAAATATAATTTCCCAAATATTAATTTGATAGTTTTACCGTACTTTTTTTTAAATTATATTTGGCCTTTATGCCTTTATTGATAGAAACAGCTGAAGATTGACAGGGAGGGGCAGCAGAGAGAGAAGGGATGACACGCAGCAAAGGGCTGCAGGTCTGATTCAAACCCGGGCCGCTGCAGCAACTCCGTATATGGGTCGCCAGCTCTACCGACTGAGCCAACTGGGCGCCTAGTTTTACTGTACTTTGATGCTCTTATTCAAAATTACAATCCCCTGCAATTTCCTGCACAATATATGCTAACATTATGATCATTTTGTAGATGATTTCCTGCATGATTTATCGTACCTATTACTGTTTACCACTCCTCCTGTCCAGCACAAGCTAGTCTGTGAGCTGCCTGTCTGAGCCAGTGAGGTGGAGCATGGAAAAGTGCCCAATGAATGTCTTGCTAAGACCTGCTGAAATGTGACGATTGACTCCGGGGTATTGATTCATTCTGGGCCTGACAGGTGAAACTGCAGATCTGGCATTAGTCACAACAATTAGGGCATTTGAAATGTCAAGAAATTAGAGGTCATGAGAGATAATTTCCGTCCGTGTGTCAGATGGAAATGATGACACCCTCTGACATGCCGCCGGGCCTCTGGTTGAGGGCACGGTGACAGCTCTACTGGGCACACTGCCGGAACAGCAGTCCTTCTCCATGATGCTCCTCTTGACAGCCTTCTCTTATGGAAAAACATGACAGCAACCCCTTGATTCAGACCCCGCTGTGTCACTCAGAAGTAAACAGACAAATTATTCATCAGTGGGACTCTAGTCCTCCTCAGCTGCCACTGCCCCTCCCACCCCCTCTGAATCGACAAAGACAACAAAGTGTGCTGTGGCTAGCCAGTGAAGGCCTTTGAAGCAGCTGACATACTTTAAATTGATTTCACCTTGATATTCTCACAGTGATGGGACAAGTGTTTAAAAACTTGACCTTAATGATAAGAAACTCCCTTCATATTTATCACATAGCATATAGGATCAGATAGCTGTATTAGAGACAATCACCTACTGATGGACATATTGCTTGAGACATTTCTGCTCCCACATACAGTAGTGTATATGTCAACTCCCAAGCTGTCACTCAAAAAACACCCCCAGGGTAATTCTTTGTTAGTACTTAGGGATTAAAATAAGTCCAGATAAGCTTACCTGAACGACATTTCCATTTGCATGTAAAGAAACAACAAGAAAATTACACAACAATTACATTAATAGTTTGTTTATGTGTGCTTGCATGTGCCTGTATGGTTTCTGTGTGGCTTTGATCTGTTTTTATAATCTGTTTATACTGTTTAAAAGCCAGAAGTACTTAATAAAAGCAATTTGCTTCTGTAATCTGTCGGATCTGTCAAAAGGTGAAAGGTTTAGCAGCTTCATATTTGTAGTTGCCACCGCTGATCTCAGGTGTCGTGACTCAGCATGATCCCACGCTGCTTAGCGGGTCAGTGCAAGGCCGTGTTTGCATTCTGTCTGACAGAGCTGTTGTGTTGCTGCGTTGCATGAGTGCACTGGAGGATGCTGTTGGGAGATCATCATCCACGGAGTCTATCTGTCACCAGTTTGGGGACCAGGCAGCAGATAGAGAGAGCTGCAGCCACTCACCTCTGAAGCCTTTAGCTCACGCCAAAATCAGATGTGAACAAAGTCAGACAGACAGACATGCAGACACAGTGTGTTATGATGGATGTTAGGTGCTCACCCAAGCAAGGTGGTTGTTGCTGGGAGAGGAGATCAGCCAGATGGCTTCGGCAATAAGTGTCACTTATCAGCCAAAAAGCAGAGCCTGAAGTGACTTAAACTAATGAACTGCCTGTTAAGTGCTCTCCATCTCAGACTGATGCAGAGATAAGTTTCTGACATACCTCTGAGAGGATTAGTGTTGAAGCACCTGAGAAATATTGACATGTTTTGATCATCTAGTCGAGGAACATGTTCTTCAGTTAACCTTCAACCAGTCAAGCCCCCTTCCCTTCGACACACACACAAACACAAACACACAGACAAATCCTCCCCCTTACACTCTGGAAATAATTCTTGGGCGTCAAGGTTGTCTAAGACTACCAAAACGGGACATGTAGCAGCCCAGTTTCCCTGGTAATAGAATCATCACAAGAAATATGGTGATGTTTTCCACATGGCCCTCTCAGCCTTTCTGATCTTTGTATCAAATTTCTTTATTTGAACAGACATTGTGACCCTCACCCCAAACCTAACCTTAAATAGCCATAATGTCAGTTGCTTATTGCTTGACGGACTACGTTGTAAAGAAACACTGACTAACACTTAATGGTTGCCAAATGTGCTCACCAACTCACACGAAACTTTCACTGCTGTGCGACAGCGCTCAACCGTGTGGACAGCGCCTTTTTTGGTGCTGTGAAAGATAGGAAGTGACCAGGGGGAGTTTGGGGCGCCTGTTTGGCTTGCAGGTGGCCTGTCCTAATTCAGTATCACCTCCAAACTTCCCATGCCACATCTCCCTCTGTGGCATGTGCTACCCAATAGGTCCTTTTGATAGTGAGTGGTGTGTACAGGCGGAGGAAAATGAGAGCTAGTCACCCCGGCAGTCAGAAGGGCGGGCGAAAGGCTGAGCGATGTATGTTCCATTGTGCACAGTGGCATTGACGGACGTCTACAAGCTCCCCTCTGATGGTGGAAGTGGCTCCAGTCACATCAATCACTCCCACCGTGGAGTGCCCCACTTTCAGTCAAGCTCAGCAGCTCTTAGTGCTTGTTTTTTTCCTCACTCACAGGAGGAAAATGAGATCTTTTGTGTATTTAAATGGAAGTTATTTTCTAATAATAGCAAAATAGTCCTCTGGTGTTGTGTTGTTTTGTTTCTTCTACACATGTGCTGTTTTTAGTTTATTCCTTAGTCACAAGCATCCAGACTCACAGTTAATTCCCCATAAATCATCCTTCATCAAGGTACCCTCTGCCAAATCGCCATGGTCTGCTTGTGTGATTTTGTGCCTCTGTTTCATACATGCTTTTCCCCTTTGTTTCAAGCACAATAACATCTAAAAGCGGGCCGGCCTGCTGCAGTCCTAGCTGGATGTCACTCCAGGTTAACGTTTATGCAGTGGGGGCCCCTGCGCCTGGAAATGGGAATGGTTAACTGAAGCATGTTAATAGGAAAAGGCTTGTCTCTTCCATACTAACACTTGGATGACTCTGCAGGCCGAGGGGGGAAGGGGGAGCACCCAGGCGGATTGGGAGTGCTCCCCTTTCCCTTTACCTCCCCCCTTCCTCAGAGGCACGGCTGAGTTAGGATTTGCTTGCATTGTCAAGTAACGCATTGACCCATCACTTTGATGCATATTGATTGTGACAGCCGCTCTCTCTCTCTCTCCTTCTCCCTTCTCTCTCTCCCGCAGGCCACAGAGGCACAGATCCAGAGCTTTGGACAGACGCCATCTCAGTTGCTTATTGAGCCACATCCTCCACGCAGCTCCGCCATGCACCTGGTGAGATCAGCGAGCATGCTGGGAAAATTCCCTGCACCTCTGGTGGTGGTGGTGTGTGTGAGAGAGGATTTGTGGACCTGTGTGAGCCTGGATGGTGTGTGTTTGCGTGCCTGTGTTTGTAGGTAGTCACAAGATTGAGATAGATGCTCCCTGATTTTTCACGTCTATTTCCTTCAATCCACTCTTTTATAACAAAAGATAAATATTTCAGAAAGCTTACCTCATGTAGGTCAGAGATCCGCAATATAACATCACAGTTTCAGCTCTAGTTTTCTGCATTGTTTTATAGCTGTTACTACCCACTAGCAGTGTGGTGTAAAGGGAAGAGTGCTCCCTACTGGCCTAGTAGCTCCCCTCTTTCTGCTGTAAGCTGCTCTTCCCTGTCTAATCCATGTAATAGCCAGCCTAGCCCTCATTATCCCCACATGGCTCTCTCTGTTTCTCTCTCCCTACAAGAAACTTTGCAAGGCAGATCCCTTTGAGACCCTTTAGTTCAATTTTCTACTTTTGCAACAGATGTGAATGTTTTCATTCACTTCTGTCAAAATCTCTAAAATTAGGGATAAGATGAGAGCTGAAACTGGTTCCAAACTCACAGAAAATTGTCAGGATCACTATCTCCTTCTTTGCCTTGATTCCTTTTACATGATGTAGTTTAACCAGAGGTTGGAAAGGTTGAGCTGAAGTTTGCAGTGGTAAAATAAGTACATTTTCGAAAACTCATGCAATTTTTAAATGCTTCTTCTTTGTTGACCAAACCGAATCTTTCTGGTACATGTGTATCATGTATGCACCATCTCATGTGTACAGCCTACTTCATCCCAGTTTTCCATGTCTTACCCTTGTCTTACCAGTCCCTTGTCTGACTGCACTGTCTGGAGGAGGCAGTGCATGAAGTCCTCCTCTGTGTCTGAACCTAGTTTTTCCTCCAACCTCCACACTAATTGCCTCTTTCCATTCTTTTTCTCACATCTTTTCATACTTCTACTGTTCATCTTCTTCATCCCCTGCCTTCCCACTCCTTTTTTCTTGTACTCCTCCTCTTCCACCATCACATCCCTCCATCCTTCCACACACTCCGCCTTTTCTCTCTTCTACTCAATAGTGTTTCCTTCCACAGAGTCCTCTGATGTTCAAGGACCAGATGCAGCAGGATGTCATCATGGTATTGAAGTTTCCATCCAATTCGCCGGTAACGCATGTGGCCGCCAACACCCTGCCCCATCTGACCATACCTGCTGTGGTCACAGTAACCTGCAGCCGTGTATTTGCCGTCAACCGATGGCACAACACCGTTGGTGAGTGAAGCTCAATGCACATGGCAGGTGATATGTCCAAACATACAAATATGCCCTTGTAAAAAAATAAAAATAAAATTAGGCCACACATGATACCTACCACAGCAGTGGCCCTGTAAAATCACTTCATCACCGTCACACACAAACCTGCCCTCCGCTCATAATAGAGCCGTAGCCAGCTGGCTATGTGAGAGGCTAGCACCTCCTAGGTAAGCTGACCATGAGTGTTTCCACATGTTTCTTTTCAGACATGTGTGAACAACATTACCCACAGAGCCCCTCCCTGAGAATCAACCTCACCTCAGGGTCAGAGGGCCAACGCAATGGTTACTAGGAAATTAGGCTGCAACTGCACCACATTCTCCTCACACGTCCCCATCTGTCACCGTAGAAACACACTGAGCTCTGGACCAAAGAGTCCGCACTGTGTGGCTGCTCTGGTTGCTCCCACACTAATGAACACAGCTGCAGCACCCTTGCCATCCTGTCGGAGAGGAGGAAAATGTGGTTTGGCTTTTCAGAATAATGATGATAATAAGGCCTCAATATTTTCAGGCATGTTGGTGTTTCAAAACTGGCTCCAGATACAGATTGCATGGATAAAATGTCTCCATTCAGTTTGACACACTGAAAAAAAAAAGAAGCCCAGTAAGACAGATGGAAATCTTTCTGATGGACCTCCAATACTTCCATCTCCTGGAAGAGACTCTGAATTAACTTTGGCTCTGAAAAGGGAACAGGTGTGTGTGAGTGTGTGTATGTAAGAATGCACATGTGCATAAGTTAGAAATAGCCTCAATGATTCATTTCCTTCTGTGTCCTTGCCTGAATCCAGGTCTCCGAGGAGCACCAGGCTACTCTCTGGAACAGGCCCATCATCTACCTATAGAGATGGACTCTCTGGTTGGTGAGTAAGCTTCCTTGTTTTGAATGGAAAATATAGCATTAAACATAGAAATAGACTATTAACTTACATATCTGTTTTAGCTGTAAGGGTCTTGATTAATAACTCAAAAATTGCTTGTAATACCTCAGGTATTGACACATGCTCTCTTTTTCCTTTTTTTTCACAGCCAACAATACTGGAAGCAACAAGCGTCAGATCACAGACCTAGTGGACCAGAGCATCCAAATCACCACACACTGTTTCGTGGTGACAGCTGACAACCGCTACATACTGGTGTGTGGCTTCTGGGACAAGAGCTTTCGTGTGTACTCCTCCGAGACAGGTAGGTTGCAGTGTAAACTCTATTTCCTATAGAGGTGTGCACTGATGTGTGGAGGACTGAGCACTATGATGGGAATAATACAGTATTGTCGCTGTTCTCTCCTGACAAGCCTTGTAGAAAAATGGATGACTATACTGTAATACACTGGAACTCACTGATAAGTAAAAAATTATATATTTGCTAATTTCCTTTCCCTGATAATGATTCAGTGGGAGCAAGATAATACCGTTGGCAACATAGCTGTTTAATTATATAAATGATGATCACTGCAGCTTCACAAGCGACATTTAAGTCATTTCATCAGAAATTGAGGGTCAGGCCTGCCCCAAGGGGTTCTAAGATGGATTGGAAAAATAAAAAAAAAAATCAGTTGTGTTTATTTTTCTTTTCTCTTACGAAATACAAGAGAGAAAAATGACTCTTTTGGGTTGAATTGCTCAGCTCTGTTCACAATAAGGCCAAAATCTGTGACAAGACATTGTTTAATTTTACGAGGTCATAAGCAAAAAAAGGTGGGAACCACTGATTTAACTACATTGGAAATGTTTTACTCCCTTAACTACAGTCAGTGGGGCTTTGAAAACACAGCTGACAGTAGTTTTATCATGGAACATTTCAGGAACTGCTGACTAGCAATTTTCGCCTACACCGAAAACTTGTTTGTACACATTCTTTTTAGGCAAGCTGACCCAGATCGTTTTTGGCCACTGGGACGTGGTGACATGTCTGGCCAGATCAGAGTCTTACATTGGAGGAGACTGCTACATCGTCTCTGGGTCCAGGGACGCAACACTTCTGCTGTGGTATTGGAGTGGACGGCACCATATTATTGGCGACAACCCCAATAACAGTGAGTAACAGTACGCACGTGCCATGTGCTCACACACATACAGACTACACAGTAGCTTCACCCTCAAAGTTACAGGAAACTTTTTAGTATTTCATCTATGAAGTGTACTCCTTTGTTGTTAAGTAAAAGCCGAAGTGCATTTTAAAAAGTTACATAGGAAGCAAAAGTCTTTGATCAACACTGGAAGAAAGGCATTCTACCCTAGAATCAAATAATGCGGAGAGACAGGGAGAGGATAATTTATCTGCACTGTAGCTGTGATATATTAGTGTGATCCATTGCATTGAGCTGTGCTGCTTTCAAGTAGAGGACTCCAGATGTCTTGGCATTGAAAATGGTAGACCCCAGTGTGTGATTTCTGCTGCTCAGTTCATTTAGTGGCTCATTCTCCCTGATAGTCTGTGTAAAAAAAAAATCCATCAGTGTAGGGGAAGCAGGCGTTGCAGTACTGTACAAGCAAGGAGTGCCATATATGGTGTGGAATTGAAACGCTGAAGATGAGGAAGAGAGTGTGTTTTTATTTTATTTCTGGATGACAATACAATATGTGTGTGTGTGTGTGTGTTAGAATATCTTGTGTTTCCAATTGTCACAGATTCTAGGAGGTCCGGATTAGTTGCGAGTGTTCTCTAATTAACTTCACTGAGGCTCCGACAGTTAATTAAGAATTTCAGCTTGGTTGCCTCCAATTAGCAAGGGGCAATAGCACTTGTGTTACTGCAGCAGGAAAACAGTATTCCCCTGATATTCACGCTACTAGTGCTTACAATGCATCTTCAACTGACAAAAGGGAAGGAAGCTACATAGCTCATCTCAAGACACAGAAGACAGGATGTGTTTTCACACAGTCAAGTAATTTCCAATCTCTCATCAATAGATCATGATATCAGAAACACTGTGGAGGCTCTGCAGCCAGCCAGTATCAGTCATGTTAAAATAAAGATGGCAGGCATTTGCAAGGGATAAACTACTACCACCTTTTCATATCTTCGCACTTTTCCTTTTCTCTTACTTATTGGCTTATTCATTCCACAAGGCTCATTCTGGTGATTTCACGCCTATTATATTTTCTATAATGCCGGTTGTGTGAATTTGTAGCAGCAGCCCCCTGGATCACGACTCTCCCTCATTCCGCAGATGTGGCGTGCCCAAGAAATTGATTTCACCCGTGCCCCAAAAGGCTGCATGTGTCTTAAATGTGTAATAATTAAAATAACTTCCAGCTCAATCATGGCCCTGCCTCTCAGACTTGGCCCATCACACCGGTGCAAGGGGATATTTGCACCGGGTAATTGTGGTGGCTGACTTCGGCTCGTCCCAAGGGCTAAAAGAGGGTGGGGGGTATGCAGTGCAAGCTGATTGAATCTTTTGTCGGGTAGGTGAGCTGCACAAGGTCCCTTTTTCCCCCTGGAGGCTTTTTCTGACACTTGTCCTATTCAGCCCCCCTCAGCAGTGGGTGCTGGGACTGACAGCGCCGCTCAGGTCCTGGTCTCTAAGGGACTGTGCTGCATCGATCACAGTCCAGCTCACTGACTGGACTGCTACAGCTGCAGAGGCGATATGCCGAGCCGGAGGAGGAGATGATGGGGGAGGAGGGGGGGATAAGAGAAGAGGAGCGAGGTCTGACACATGTCCGCATCATCTATCAGGAGTTAACTGTCATCTAGGTGGATAGAGAAACTTTCACTGAATTGGCTGAACTTTGAGTCACATGTAAACACCAACAGCAACATACTCTATTCTACTACTACTATATTCAGCAGTATAAGTTTGACATGGCTTTGCCAAGGTGGTAAATACTGAGGGCCTACACAAATAACAGTAGGATGATTTTATTTCAAATCAATAATAATAAAACAAAATTTTATTTAAATAAAACAATGGTAAAATTATTTATTAAAATAAGATATAAGAAAAATATGGGAGCCTAAAGCATAACTTGTGTTAGTTGACCCAGAATTCCCTCCTTTTAGACTGTTTAATTGCTTTTCATTTGGTTTGCATATGCCTGCCTGTGATGGAACCAATGGGTTCAACTCTCTGTATGACACAGAGTATTTAGGGACATAATACTCATTATTGGTGATCAGTGCATTTCAGAAATAGTGCTGCTTTCATACTTCTCTTCAGACGCCATTCTGGCAGTACTCGTGGTAGGCTCCAGTTGCCATGAAACTCCCCTCACTAACCTCTCCCCCGGCCATCATCAATCATGTGACACACGGGAAGAAATCAAGTGGCTTGGCTGCCATCAGTGGGCATCCCTGCATTTACATCACAATTCAAAGGGACCTCCCTGCTAGCAGATGTGTGTCACAATCACTGTGCTTGTGTTTATATTGTATTATTGTGCTTGATTTTATTGCCTGATGAAGGTGTGGTGATTATGTAGACCATTGCACAGAAATCCCCATTCACAAATGCAGCATATTGAGTGGTAAATTTAGATAACCGGTCAATATGCTATACAGGTATTGCCTGGTACAGATTTAATCAAACAAACCAAGTCATTTGTTTTATGATGTTGTGTTTCTTTCGTCTTTCAGGTGACTACCCAGCACCACGAGCAGTTCTGACTGGTCATGACCAGGAAGTTGTGTGTGTGTCAGTCTGTGCAGAGCTAGGTCTGGTCATCAGCGGAGCCAAAGGTCAGTATACTTTTCTGTCACAGACACTCATTCCTTGGCATACATACTGTAGGTTACCAGCCTATTACCAACCCACATAGACAAGTATTCATTTCATTGAAGGTTCTAGACCTTCATGTGTACCCACATGCAAATGCCTCACAGAAAATTGGTGGACCAGGACATATAGTATTTCTAAGCTCAAAGTACTATTAAAACTATACTGTCTGATTTAATAATATAATAATTTACTTTTTTACATAAGCAGTTTGCTCACACTTGTGTATGTGTCTGTTTTGGTTCGGCAGAGGGTCCATGTCTGGTCCACACGATCACAGGAGACCTGCTGCGGGCTCTGGAGGGGCCAGACCACTATCAGTGCCCACGGCTCATCTCAGTGTCCAGCGAGGGCCACTGCATCATCTACTACGAGAGAGGCCGCTTCTGCAACTTCAGCATTAATGGAAAACTGCTGGCACAGATGGAGGTCAATGATTCCACCAGGGTAAGCTGACACATGCTTTAACACCAGTTAAGTTTGAAAGGCAGAATTTCATCAACTTTGCATATCCAGTGATTGCTTGGTGTTTTCAATTTGGATAAGATGATGGAAATGTGAGTTACACCTGTCAGGTTTAGTATGTAATTGTATATCATATCATATTAAGACAATAATTCATCTTAAATTTGTATAAAACTATATGAAGTGCACATCGCTGCTGCATGTCATGCTCATGCTGTACCTCAACTATCAAATGTTTTGTGTACATATCAATTTCTCATTCAGTGACATCTGCTGCAGCAAGACAATGGAACTTAAGTTGAAGGTGACATTTTGAAGTACTGTCTATCCCTGTAGGCCATTCTCCTGAGCAGTGATGGCCACAACCTGGTCACAGGTGGGGATAACGGTGTGGTGGAGGTGTGGCAGGCGTGTGACTTCAAACAGCTTTACATCTACCCTGGGTGTGATGCTGGTGTCCGAGCCATGGACCTATCACACGATCAAAGGTGAGAGAAGAGACCATGTACACAGAAAGCCATCTTATTGTCTCGCACTCATCATACACAGGTACATTTACTGTTTTAACATGATCATCTGATGAGGTGAATCCATGAAATAGACTTCATCCCTTATTCATTTATTATCTTATTATTATGTTATTATCTCTACCAATCACAAAGGAGATATAAAGAGAAGCAAACAAAGGTTTACGCCTTGAAGTAAAACCAACAGCAAGTCATAACAAAATGATTTGTACATTTTAGTGTATGATAAGAACGAGACAGAGCACGATGTGGGCTCTGCTTGGCTTTGCACGATCATTGTGTGGGCTTGTGTTGGATGCGTGCATGCGTGGGCTTGCTTAGCAAATCCATGCATGTTTGTGTGCGTGCACGTTTATATGTCCCCACATGCTCAATAGTGTACTGCATGTGTAGGCCGAGGTAAAAATCCTTGCATTGCCTGTGTTTCACGGTTGTCACTGTGCATTTTAGTTACTGGAACATCAACCATTCTTTTCCTTTAAATAGAACCTACGGTTGCCATAGAGACAAAAAATTACAGGGGCATCTATCTGCGAATGCACTTATTTTGGATAAACAGACAACAGCAAGCACACATGCTTGCGGCCTATTGGCAGGTCAGCAGCATGTTTTTCCTCAATGTTTGCGTTCTGCAAGATCCGCCAGGAGTCGTATAATGGGTGCCTGGATGGCGGCGCAGAGGCGACAATGTTCGCTCTAGGGCTATAAGCCTGACGTCATCATGTGACCCTGGCAGTCAAGAGAGGTTAGAGAGTGTGAACATTCAAGCTGCACTTTACAGCCACAGGCCAAATCCCCCTCAGCACTTACAGTCCAGCCGAAAACAGAGGCCTGATTTTGTGACTTAACCGCGCAACCTGCAGAGGATGGCCGGATATAAGATGAAATTTGTTAATGAATTCAGTTTTAGTGTAAAGTATATGTCAGGGGCTAAAAATACTAAAAAAGTACTTACTACATGCTATTTTTAACATTTTTTTTAAAACCACTTAACAAATCACTTCAATTAAATATTTTTAGAACCCCACTGATTAAGTTACAATCTCTTTTCTTAGAAAGTTCACATTAGGTAACACAAGTGAGCGCTGCTCCGCAACTCCATTTACAGAGGGGCATTCTGCTTCAACTCTGTTCATTGTGTGTGAGCATTTAAGCCCTAGGGGTGTAGCAGTATAAGACGACCCTGTGAAATCAGCTGCTTTTCCTACATACCAGCCAGGCATGGACACAAGAGCAAAGGGGTTACAGAATGACACGGGATCTCAATAGTCTACTTCAGTTGTCAGAGGAACCTGGTAATTTACTGTCACAGCCCCTGATGACCTCTTGTGCTCATTTCATTCACCACGATGGACATTTTAACAAACAGTTCATATGCATGGAAATAATATTTAACAGTAAACACATTTTAATACATGCTGGTTCCATTCTCATATCGATACCGTTACTAAAATATGTATTATACATCAAATATAATATTAAATGTGTAGTTTTAGTTTGTGATTTTCTTTTTTTTCCCCCATGAAACTGTATAATCTGTTTGCTAACACACTTCATGTTTTCATGTCTTTTTAATGGTTTTGTTGCTCTTCAGAACTTTGATCACGGGCATGGTCTCTGGCAGTATTGTGGCATTTAACATCGATTTCAACCGGTGGCACTACGAGCATCAAAACAGGTACTGAGTAGAAACAGATCCACACAGCAGGAGGTAAGTGTGGAGGGTCAGAAACACCTACCAACCAGTGACCAAGCTGTGTGGTAGAAGATCCAAAGAGCATGGAAGATATCCAGTGGGCTGGGGAACATCAGCATGGTGACGCTAATAAAGAACAAGGTGTGCTTACATGTCTTCATCTGGCTTTTTAAAGGCGGACTTGTTGCCATTCGTCTGTTGCTGAACAATCTGGACACATTTTGTGTTGGTTTTCATGTCTTACCTGGGCAACAGCTGATGCATTTCCCCAACTGACTCAAGCAGGTCTGTTGTTCTGGGCAAGGAGAGACTGAGATCAACTTAAGTTAACACAATTACACAGTTAAGTTAATAAAACATACTTAATGTAAGGTTTTAAGTTCCTGTTTCAAACTGAGAAAAATGCAAAACAAAAAAGAATCCTCTGTTAGGAACATTTATACAACATTTGTATGGCAGGTACATATCTCACTTGGAACACTTTTCTAGGAAAAAAAGTCAACCTGTAAATATGGACAGTGTAAAGTGTTTCTTCCCTGTAAAGGCTGAGATAAAGATCTAAATGCTGTTAGACTAGCCACCATGTTTCCAACATTTCCATTATCCGAGCCATGGATAAATGTTGAAAAATGTCTTCATTGCACTTCAGATATTAGTTGGTGAGTAATACATGTATATGGCCATTGTTTTCTCATTGTTATTAACGGTGGTCAAATGTATGTGTATGTGAAAAGACAAAATGTCCATTGTTACTTTGTTGTGTTTGATTGTCTATATCGAAGAAAAGTCAAATTCAGTGTGAGCTTAGTCCTTTGTGAAATATTTGGTTTTGATCATGTCAGCAAAAAGGATAATGTTTCCATATTTATTTGAAATTGAGAACTATTTTGTTGATTGATGGCAAAGAATTAAAATGTCTTACTATAAGATCTTAAAAAGATTAAAGTGGGACATTGAGAAACAGCATTTATCACTTTTTTGTGTTCTTTCAAAAACACATCCAGAGGACTGAACCAGATTTATCGGATAATATGTCATGACTGTTAAAGTGTTTGTGGTAAAGCTGTAAGACATTTTGTAAAAGGAAGTGTCATTTAAAGACATTCTACAATTAATACAGTTACTTGTGCATATCACAGTTTTATAGTTTGCCTATTTTTGCTTGTCTATTTTCAGTCTGTGAATTCATGAACACCAGTTCATGCTGTAACACCATGCATTGGTAAGCAATATTATGAGTTGGTTTCTGGAAAGGTCCAAGGAAGATTTTAAGCTGTGTAACAAAAAAATGATCTAATGATAAACAGCAGTCTTCCAAAAATGACACTAATGGTCTATTTTTGGTGATAAGAGCTATTGTGTCCGCATTTAATTGCGGGAGAGAGGAGTCTGGCTGTGAGCTGACAATATGAAATGAACAAAAATATGCAAATAGATTTTGAGTTTGCATTCTGCAGTTTTTTGTGGTGCTACATGACGCCACCCTACCCAAAGCTGAAGTTTTGCATGCTAAGAGCTAGTGAAGGCATTGGGTTTACTTTGCTTTCCTGTGAAATCATTTTCATTATTGTGAATTTAAATTTCTTTGACAAAAATCATTTTGGTAATGTGTTCAAATTAAGCAGTGCATTTTGATTTCATGTAATATATTTTAAGATAAGTTGTGATTTATGTTATGATTTATATATTTTGGTTTCGCCAATTGATTTTGCACATGTTTTGGAAGAGGTAGGATATGTTTGAAGCCTATGTGATTATATAAAAATTGATAAATTGATGTAAATTCAGCTGCTTTCATTATTTTTGTTGTGTTTTTAATAAACTGAAAAAAATACACCAGTTTTTGATATTTTACTTGTGTGTAGACTGCCAAAATTCATGCATGTATCGATGTAATCCCATAATATATGTATAACTATAGCTCAAAAAATGCCCAATATAAAAGGAGTAGCTGAAGGCGGAATCTACTGAGGATATTATAAGCTTCTGTTTGATTATACTGCCACCTGCTGTCTTAGTTAGGTGCTGCAGATTTTGTAGGTCCACTGCAAGCTGTCTTGCAAAAACAGTTACCCTCTGATTCATGGTAAGTCGCTGACTCACAAATTAATTAAATCCTTTTTATTTCCAGGTTTGGTTTCTTTGCAGAGTACATAGTTGGAAGTTTATTTTTTTTACCATAGCAATCGATTATTTTCTCATGAAAGGAAGTGTATTACTAGTTTTTGTTTTTGTTTTTGTTTAGGTTGTTTTATAACATCCTTACATTAATGGAATATGGATGAATATAATACAGCATTCACATTCTCCATCTGCTTCCACACAACACTGACATTCCCGGTTGTCTCTGAGTACCATTTGTCAAACTGTGTATAAACATTACATGTTTTTCAGATGATGAAAAACAGACAGTGATGAAGGCAAACACATTCCCAAAAAGACACTATTAAAACTTGCTTTCCTTGTGCTTTTTGGCTCACTCTCCTCTAGTCAAAAACTTAAAAGCCCTTTTACAACAAAATCAGTGGTGTGATGTTACATTTCTGTTAAAATACGTATGTACAAATCTTAACTCAGCTGGGGTATGACTATAGTCTGCCTTAACTGAACTGGATTCACCAAGACAGCACATACAATGACAACAGGAATGGTTTCATATCTGACAGGCGTATATCAAACAGTAGAAGACCAGAACAACTGATTTAGGATGCATATTAATACACATGCAGGTTACAGTCTCTGATGAAGGGAAGAGGACATTCGCATCCATGAATATTTGGTCTCTGGTGAACCAATGTATGAAGTGGTCAGAGGACATACAGTACATACAGTCTAGTGAGCCAGTCATGTAGTTTGATCTGATTAAAAAAGTCAAACAGAAGTGCTGACTGAATTAACAAATATTAAAATAACAGATTTTAGTGGAAGCACTGTTAACTTGTTTCTTATTTCAGTATTTGAAAAAAATCCATGTTACACAAGGGCTAATTGCCCTAATCTGATAGAGAAGTGTGTCAGTTTGCTGCCAATAACACCCGCAAAATATCCATTCTCACTCATTCCTGCACTTTCAAGGACAAATTTAAAATTTAAAAATAGTGTGCTCAATGGGCAGTACACCTAATTGCACTTAAATCCATATGTTGCAAGGCTTTAAACATGCACTTACTACCAACTACACAGCACTGACATTCATCTGTACCACCACTGAATTAAAATCACTCTCACAGACAAAACTATTGTTTCAAAAATCATCCTCCAGCAGACATGTGAGCTGGACCATCAACAGTCAAACATTAGTGCCCTCTATTCTCTTAAAGAGGCAAGCTACTGGGTGGCAGGACAATATTTGTCCACACAAACATCTGTTCAGTACAGATAATGCTTATGGTACAATATAGCAGCATGTCTTTTCAGTTTCTTAGGTCCTCTTAAACTGTGTGTCTAAGTTTATGCACCAGAATCTTAAGTACCACAGCAGAGAACTCTGGATGCCATACAGTACAACAGAAGTGTGACCTTTACCATTAATGTTGTACTGAGTTATTGTTACACTTAAGCTTAAATCGGTATAAGCGGTACTGAACATGTCATAGTCATGTAATTTTACATCCTACGGTTTCAACGTTTTGCATTAACATTTCCCATTGAAGTCCTTCATGAAGCAGTTTGTCTTTCTGCAGTATACAATATTAACCAATAGAGGGCTCTAGAGTACTACAATGAACCAGCACTTGCAGCGCTAAACAGTTTGGTGGCTTTTATGAAAGAAAGGAAAAATATTGTTTCATGCTCTAAAGGTATATTCTTTGATCCAGAGATTAACTTCCCACTGATCAATACATTTTGTAATTAAAATGAGTATCATGATTGGGAAAAAAGAACATAGGTACAGGTAAGATTGCAGTCTGTAAATGTCCAAGTCAGCAGACTGAACTCAATGTTGGGTCTGCAAAATGGAAATTTTGCTCTCCACCCTCTCTCATTTTCCCATGGAGGGGTGGACTGTGCTGTGGCCTCGGGAAGGCTGTTAGAACGGAGAGGTGGGTGAACGAACAGTGTCAGCCGAACTTGGGGAATAGTCCTCAGACTCAGAGTTGAACTCAGCGGGAGAGAGGCCGAAGTTGGCACTGCGGGAGGCACCGGCACCAATACTGTATGGGAGGTGGGGAGTGAGCTTCACATCCTGGTGGCGTCTTCGTCGGAAAACTTGCTTCTCCTTATCAAGTGCCGTGGTCTGAGAGAGGGTGACACAGCAGCTACCGTTAGGTTCTCCAAAAAAAACCCATAGAGATGAGGAGTGGCATCTACTCAACAACCAGTAACACACTTAGTAAGTAAGTAAAAGTTAAAAGAGCCAATATTAGCATGCAGTTGTGTCCGAAAAGCTGCATTTACCTCAACACTGTTCTCCTTTGAGAACATAACTTCTTCGGACAAGTTTAACTTCATCTTGTGAGACAGCATACGAGTACAACGCTCACAAAACCAGGAAAAGCAACAACAAGAGGAAATAAGGTCTGCCAATATCAGCTGTGAAGTCTTTATGTCTGTGACAGTACTTCTTGTGAAGTAACAGAGAAAAATTAAATCCAGCTGCTTAGTATGTCACATAAACCCTGAAATGCAGTTAGCATAACTTTTCTATGCAGAAAAAGTACATAGCAAGGTAAACTCTATGACCAGGTGAGAGGAAACAGCCACAGCACTAGAGATGAGATGAGATGAAGTAACGTGATAAAGTGATGGACCTGATGAGGTAAATAAGGCATGAAAAGGACTCTATTGACGGTCAATGGCTCAAACCCTGTGAGGGATGGGAAATGGAGACTGCCAGCACTCTGCCATGGAAGCACTGCATATTAGCACTATGCTGTGTCATACCTTATCCAGTACAATCCTGGATGCTGGCAGTGGTCCAAAGACCCTGACCTCTGGATGGTAAAGTCCTGGTCCAGCTGAGCAGAGAGAGATGAGCGCAACTCAGAGGATCACCTTGAACTCAAAGCATCACTGACCTGATTAGAATTAAGGCGCACAACTCTAAACTTCTGATTGCTGTGATGAGAAGGAAAAAAACTGGCGGAAAAACATCATGTCACTGCCAACTGACATTCTGAATTGTCAGAGAAATATTTTCATTTGGCAGCTGACAGCTGAGTGGTTGGCTTACCTGCAAAGTAAGTACAAGGACTAGATATGAGAAATGTAGAGGAATACAATAGATCACCCCCATTCTTTCTGCCAATTGTACAAATCAAACTCAGCTTTGAAGCTATTCAATAAATCATATCTACCAAAAACCTAGTTATTATAGTCCAACTATGGGTATTTGTAAGATCTCCTAACAACAGTGCTGACAGTCTACACGAGGAGGATGAGAGGCCAGAGCACACACAGGAAGACCTGGCAGCAAGAAGCAGATGGATGAACTGATGTGTACCATATACAAAACAAAGGATAATGGATAATGGATTTATTTGTTGCTTTTCGAAAGCAGACAATGCTAATAGCTTCAACTTAAAACAATGAAATTCTAATGGCATCCAAAGCATAAAGATAAAAAAGCTTTTGCACACTTAAGCAGCAGGTGCATATGAGGAACACTGGTTTTAAAATTCATAACTGCAGGCTTTGAATTTTGAATGACATCCAAAGCATCATCGCTAAAACACAATCATAAAAAAAATGCCATAATGTGTTCTACTGATGCTGAGCTGCATGCGGTGTCAGTGTGTGGAGGGCTACAGATCAGTGCTTACTGTAATGACTGACACCCCTGCTGTGGTGCTGTTGAGCTTCGGCCCGGTGTTGAAGTGTTTCTTGATCTTCCCAGCCACAGGCAGCTGGTGCTCGTTCTCTGACACGCCATCATCCTAAAAAATACAAAGAACAAAGCTTCAGCAACTCTACCTACTGTATCACACTGCATATTCTTTCTTAGCAGTATGTGCATGTACATGGGTGATTCTGGTGAAAGGACTGACTTCAAAATGTTGGACTTACATTGACCCATGGGTGGTCGAGCACCTGCACAGCTGTGTATCTCTGATCCACCTCTACCTGCAGCATCCCGGTGATCAGAGCCTAAAGAAAGACATGTTAGCCATGAGTATTCAAGGATGATAATGTAGCCTGAGACACCAGAGTAACAGATCGCTGACAGGTTCTGGTGTTTCACATTGCGCATAACAATGGCAGATAAGGAGAGCACTTCGAGACACAAACCTTAGCAGTGTCTGACACATTGTCCCAGTATGGTGCAGGGAAATCAAGCAGGCCCCTCAAAATCTGTTCAAAGACAGCCTCCTGATCGTCACCACTTCTGTAGAAATTAAAACAAGGGGTATTTCATAAAGCTCAAACAAAGTTTCACATAATACAACATTTTGATCAGTGTGATTTAAATAAATTAAACTAACTGATGTGGTTAAAACATTATTCTTATTGAAGTAGACCTCCTGAGACAGGAGCACATACCCACGGAAAGGTGGAAAGCCACACAGCAGTATGTAAGTGATGACACCAGCTGCCCAAATGTCAACCTTGAGGCCATACCTGTTAAAGAGGAAGATACAGGTATCAGAGAGACTAAACACGTCTGCAAGTAGCAATAGTCCAAAAGAAATAATCTGGCAGTTTTTCATTAGGATTATGGACATTTCTACTCTCTTCCACAGCAGATGTCCTAATAATTATGTCTCAGATGGCTCAGATGATGTAACTCCTCTGACTCACCCCGTCTCAGCAACGATTTCTGGTGCAACATAGGTGGGCGTGCCACACACAGTATGGAGTGGCCCATTGACGACAGTAGCCAAGCCAAAGTCACCTAGCTTCAGAGATTTACTACCATCATGGTGTTCATACACCTGTGTAACATACATAATAAGGGAAGGCAAGAATTAATATTCACTGTAACACTGTGGTAAATATTCAATTAATGAGTTTGATGTGATAATAAAATGAAGTAACACTGAGAGCAATGACAGTTAAAGAGTTGAAAATAAAGACCTGGGAAAGGACTTTGCTACATCTGCTTTATAGTAAAAACAGACTGTTTTGGAAAAGTGCTGGAAAAGAAGAGCATTCAAACTCATAACTGATAAAAAAAAAAAAAAGTAAAAATACAGATGTTTTTTGCTTGAATCATCATATGAACATCATTTAACAAATGGCAAGACTAAAATAAAAAACTGCAGTTGTGACTGAGTTCACATGTATTCAAAGTAGATGTCTTGTTTTAATCTCTGTCTCTTCTTTTACTGTTGTGAATAAATGTACTGTATTCATTCAATTCAGAAATACAATGTCCACTCACAGCCAGTACAGAATCTTTGTAGAGTCATACTTACCAGCAGGTTTTCTGGTTTTATGTCTCTGTGGACAATGTTGAGACTGTGCAGGTACTTGATGGCGCTTGCCAGATTGAACAGCATACAGCTGGCGTCTCGCTCTGTGTATTTGTTAGAGGAGGTGATTGCATCAAAGAGATCGCCCCCCTGGAGAAAGATTATTTGTGATGTGAAAGAGTACCAGTTGCTAGTTTTCAGCTATGTTAAAAGGGCTGATGCAGCTGGGGATTTGACAGGAAGCCATTAACAGGGACCATTTTTTTGTAGACTGAAACAAAATAATGTCACAAAACAGACCTCAAGGTCAATATCACAATGAGCCCTAACAAAATAACTTTTAAAGGCTTTTGAGCTTGATATTTATTTGTAAAAGTTACCAAATGTGTAGTACCTTAACCAACTCCATTACAAGATAGAGCTCACTATGGGTGTCCATTTCCTCAATTAAAAGTACGATGTTGGGATGTTTCACACGCCGAAGGATTGACACTTCACTCTGGATCATGTGCTCCTGGAAATAAATGCAATCAAAAGAAAATATATAAACACTATATGATGAAAGTTACTTAACTGGAATGTGAAACTGGGGAGCCTCCTTTTCAGTCATTTCAGAGCAAATATGAAAAATAAACCAGTTTCAGAAAAATATTTTGGATAACAATTGAAATAATTTTGATATGCATTAACACAACTTAACTAGAATCATTTGATGGGGTTATTTAAAGCTAAAAAGAAAGAAAAAACATTGTAACCCAAGATTTAAGTCCCAGAAGAAATAGCACCATCTGCTGGTCAAACGAGAAAATAAACTGAACAGGCGTCAAATAAAACCAATGCAAAAAAAGAATAACTTCTTGATAATGAATTAAACCAAACTTGGTTGTGTGATGACTGAAGCAAGCAGACGCACAGGCAGGCTCACCTTTCCCCTGCATTTATCTTTACTGATGATCTTCAGAGCATACTCTCTTCCAGTGGATCTCTCCACACACTCTCGGACCACAGCAAAGTTTCCGTCCCCTAAAGTCCTCCCTACTTTGTACCTCTCTGCTATGGAGGCAGGGACTGAGAGGTACTCATCCATTGGCTCAACTGTGGTGCACAACAAAAGAAGATGATGTAAAGGTAGAAAGAGGTGCCTATACATTACTTAGATTTGCAAACTTTTTGCATCTTTTTCCACTGTTTATGGCTTACCTTCACTACCAGGCCCATCTCCTTCATCCATTGAGCTGCAAACCTTGGTAGAAGCTAAAGAGAGTGAAGAGCCACTGTGTTGAGATCCCTGGAAAGAGGAGACAGCCATGGAGTGAGAAAGAAAGACACACTGATGCACTTGTGTTACACAAACTTCAGAGAAGGCAAAACTTGTAAAAATGTGATTACAGCCAGCTTACACAAAGCCTATTTGTTCCACTCTGTCAGCCTTGAGTATGCAGTCTCAGATTAGATAGAAATAAATCAAGTGTGGTGAAACATTATATTAACCTTTCCACCAGTATAAAGAATGGCATGTGGTCCAAAAAGGGATTCACAGAAAATAATACCCTCCACCACAGACACAATACCAATCCCAGCCTTGTTATTAAATAATTAATGATGGTATCACTGACAATTGGATTTCGCCCCAGAATTGGCTGTGCTTTGCAGTCTGAAAACTTGCTTGTCCTCCCCAGATCTATGATAATCGCAGAGAAAATGTGCTGCTGCAGTACGGATGACGTTTGATTCAAAAGAAAGCTTCATAATACGCGTACAAACAGCCTGTGTTGGCAGAAGGGACAGTTCCTGAACTCAGAAACATGTTGTCTATGAGCTGATATTTACATCTGTACACCTGTGTACACAGCCCTGCAATCACCTATGCTATCTTTTTTAAGATCTCGAAGTAATATAAACACCAGCAGTGTTCCAGTCATATTACTGCGCAACAAAAACAAACAGTGAGGTAAATAATTTATAGCTAGTGGAGGCACACACATACTGTATCTGCTAGACAATATTCTGAAGATGAGATATGTATTAAGTTTATTCCCATCAATAAACTACAACATTTCGGTTTAATTCAATGTCACTGGAATACTCACTAGAACTAATATTATTCACTGATGATAAGATAAGTCATTCACAAAGCCTCTCTGGTATGATGTATGACACCATGTAAAATAAATCTTTAAGAACTTATTTATAGTAGCATCAACTTGTATTACCTGTCGTCTTCGAAGGCTAGCAGGGCTGGTTGGAGAGGGGCTTGGAGACTTTCCAGATCGAGGTGTGGACAGCTGGCTGCCTGCAGTGCCATTAGCTGTCGGTACAACAGAAATCACTATGAAATAGTGCAGGATACACTAAAGTCTACTTTTTATATAATCTTATAAAACCACTGTGTGAAGCTTTAGAATAATACATTTGCCTTTCATTCTTTTTTTGGGCTTCTATTGCCTTTAATCAATAGTGACAGCTGAAGAGGGACAGGAAAGGGGGAGAGAGAGAGGGAATGACACGCAGCAAAGGACCACAGGTCGGAGTCAAACCTATGGCCGCTGCAGCAAGGCAGCACACTTACCTGAACCAGTAGATGATGGAGACTTGCTCCTGCGGGACACTCTTGGGGAAGAACGACCGTGCAAAGAGGGGAGCCGGCCATATGATACAGACTTTGCCACCCTGCATTCTATAGATAAAGAAAGGGAAAACATAAAAGTATACACTGCTGCAGCAACATTTTTCCTAAATACTACTGGGCTACCTTATTCTATTTGTTTCAATTTGAGGTTCTGTGTTATTTTCAGAATAATTTTAAGTTTGTACAATTTTTTTTTTTTAAAAGGCAAACAAAATTATTTTTTTATTTTTATTATTCAAATACTATGGACAGACAAAATATGTTTAAGTACTTTACAACATCATTAATAAGGAGCATTTTCTTTCGGGTGAAACAGCCTAAAACCACAGAGCCACAAACTATGAATGATGAGATCCTCTCCACTCTGACCTGCATATTCATCAAACACACTCCCTTTATACCACACCTATAAAACTAGGTCAAGTGAATGAATGAAGGTAATGATAATGTCCTTTGTATCATCTGTATTCAGTGTGAAGCAAAGTTGTATTTCAGTCTGTTTCCTAACCACACCCACTGAGCTAAATACTGCCGTGAAGCTGCAACATTATTCCAATAAGGCTTTCAGCAAGAAGTGATCTTTCAAAATGGAAAGTTTGGCAATCTGCTCTCCAGTATATGATGTCATATGACCCAGCTCTGTTTCATCAAGTCTGGCCTATACATTAAAATAGTTTGAAAGATCCATATCCTCGATCTTTTTGATAATGCTGGTAATATGTTGTCTTATGAACGTTTTATGTCTGTACACAGTTTTCCTGTTCC